AGACATCACAATCGTGATCTCGTTCTGCCGCCACCAACTTTGCGACTCCGTTTTGCTTCGTTCAACCACCTGGATCACGGCAAATGCCGACAGTGCGAGTAACGACAGCACCGCCACGTTCACAAATATCCTCATCGCGATGATTCTCCAACTGTGAAACACGATTAAAAATTGCATATTATGTACACTCTGAAATATAGAATTCCGTTTTTTGGTCACAGTTTTTTCTAAAGAAATTAGTAAGATAATTCTTACTTTCTCTCATTTTTTTGCTTCACCGCTTGTTCCAGTAACGCCTCTTTGAAACACAGCATAATGCTGGCTGTACAATTGTGCGCAATTTCCGGATTACCGATCATGAAGTCCCATCCTGTGAAGAGTTTCCACGAAAAGATATATTCGTCCTCCTTTTCGGTCAGTTTAATCAAACGCGAGTTCTCCGCCATTCTGAAACAAGGTACGCTTGCTTCATCACTTTTTCACATATCACGGGAATAATTTCAGAAGTAATAAAATATAGTTTAATAATATATAATTCCATTTGGTGTGGAATATCGCAGTACATCTTCTTTCAAGAAATATAGAATCTGCAGTATATCTAATGCTACGTGACAATTTTGCCCTAACTTTTTTTAATGCTCTCAAAGAAGTGGAATTATCAATTGAAAAAATGTGATTGTTAATTCACAATGTTCGCGAAAGAAGCGAGGTTTAACGGCACGAAGAAATCCAGCCGGTACTTGCGCAGAATTGCGACGAAGCTGTACGTGTACACGACCAGATTAGTGACAAAGTACGCCAGAGATAAATTGTAATTGCTGTTCGAGGCCTTAGGGTACCACCCATAGAAGAACGGGGATTTTAGCACGAATTCCTCGAATTCCATCCACAGGTTCTTCGACTTGATTTTCTCTTCGTCCAGCATGTCCTTCCTCTCGCCGGCGAGTTTCGCGTCTGCAATCAATATCTGGCGAAGAGTTAAAAGAAGTTAAGTATTTTGTTAATACAGCGAGCCTGATAAACTGTTTGGAAAGCAAAAATTTCATTTTCGCTGACTAGAATTATCTTACTGCAGGTATTACAACGAATGCTGTAAGGGTTGCCGCGATGACGAAGTTGATCCAGAAAAGCCAACGGAGAAAAATGAAGTAGGACGCGACGGCGGAACCGAAATGGGATTTTATTTCCATGATACGGACCTCCCAAGGTATTAGCCACGTTTGCAGATTGATCAACTCGCGTCGGAAATACTGCCACTTCTAAACAAATGAGAGACAGTAGTTGTTGCGATCGATATATTACTTAAAAATTTTAATTAAATTTTTACAACAGCACAATCGCTACCTTAGTCATGAAAAGCGAGACACGTGCTATGACGTCTTTGGTGCTGTGACTTTGAGCAAGTCTTTCCTGCAGAACACCTTCGTGGCGTCTGATATAAGCTTTAGCTTGCCGTACGAGCTTGATCTTACGCCGAAGAGGCCAAGGCTGCTGTTTTGTACCACTCAGAATCTCCTTGTGCAGATTGAGATCCTCGAAGATCTGCTCTTGATTACTGCTTTCTTCCATCGGAATTATCGTACTATTGATTTTATTATAACCCAATACTTCAATTAACAGCCAATTTAAGTTGTGTTGGGCATTGTAGCAAGTCAGTGATTGAGATAGAAATCCGATAAAATATCGGAAAAAAATGTTATATTAAAATAATTTAAAAAAAAAGATGAGAAAAAGATTTAATATCACCCATTAAAATTTTTTTTATAGCTTTGATAAGAGCAGCTTCTTTATCGTTAATAAGAATTACTTTGTCATATAAACACTTTTAATAAAATATATAAACTTTACAATTACATGAAAAAATATTCCAGGTGGCATGTGGAAAGTGCATTATATATATATAAATGATAAATGAGGCCTGCAATATTTTTCATGCTTTACTTTAGTATGAAATGCTGTTCGCATCTTTCTTGCTACAATGATGTTAGCAATATGAAGAGTTTCTTAAATAAAGAACTAGAACGCGAACAAACTCCATATTATACAATCTGCGCGGTCTAAATACTTTATCTTAATTATATATTTAATTTGATTCGAGTTCGCAATTTGAACAATAAAATAAGGTAGATTTCGCAAAAATAATGGACTTGAGTTCACTCTAACTCTTTGAAAGTCGCGAATACTAACTCCCCGGAGCTCGTGGTGTAAACCGATGATCGATGGCGCGCGACGTTGTCGGCACCGAACGGGGACGATGGACATCGCTTCCACTGACTCTGCCTCTGTGCCGAGTTTTGTTGTTGCATAATCGCGCAAACTGATGCCGAGTAATCGTCCTCACTGTCGTTCTTCTCGCTATTTGCGGTTGATTTGTCCATCGTCGCCGGTTTCCGTGAGGTTCCGCTCGGACTCGCTCGCTTGGCTGTCGTTTCATCGAAATTTGCCACAAATTAGCCAATAAAAAGACTCAAAGAACTTTGGCAGTTTTCGCTACCCTCAGCCTGTCACTCGAAGGCTATCGATGTTTGCCTCTTCTCGACATTAAGAAAAAAAAATTTTATTCACTAACCGGCGATCGAGATGCGCTGCTTGTCGCTGTGAAATTTCGTATCCGTGCGTTCGCTTCGCGACCTTTCATCTTCTTCAGTGAGATCTTCGTTCTGACATTCGACAATACCAAACGTAACCGACTGTCGACTGGTCGACGGTTGGGGGGATGACGACGGACCTACCTACGAACGGCGAAAGATATCAGTTATTGTCTTCGAACGGCGATCATTGATCTACCTGAGTCATGCGAGTAATGAAGGGCTTGGTGAAAGAGATCACTAAAACTCGTTCACGTAAAAATCAATCCGAAAATCATTTCGTGATTTGCGACCGAAATCGGGAACTTCTCTCATTAATTACGGGAATACAGATAAGAAGCCGATTAAATAAACGGCTCAATCGTAGATATATATATATATATATTTAATCTGATTTTTTACAATTCTTTGTTTAGAAAATATGACATTTTTCAAACCACAAATTTTTCTACAACTTAAATTTTACCTAAATATGGTCTTTTTACTTAGAGCATGGAAAATTTGTTGAAATATTATCAGACTTTAATTTCAAATTATTGTTCTTTGCGATTTAGATCTTGCAGGTCTCACGCGACGCGACATTTCATGAGATATCCTACATTGATCAACGGTGATCAACGTGTCCGCGACAGTCGTACCTACGTATCATTGTAGGCCTAAGAAATCGCGAGTCTCTCTATATAAATCTATATAATAAAATACTTACATCTTATTTAAGATATTTTTATTTCATATTATTTAGGACTATGAATATATCGTAAATAAAAGACATTTGATATTAATGATATAGAGCTTTGAAGATAAGTTTTACATTTCATATGAATCAGTGGAATCCTATATATGTTTCTCAGTTTTAGGCGATTGCTTATATCGGAGGAAATACTTGCTGTTTGTAAAAGTGGCAAGAACTGAAAAAGTGTCGGGTCACGTTAATCGTCATACATTCTTCGTTCTTTGTACAGGTTCACCCTTTTGCTTCGCAGTTAATCACTTTCCTCGAGGGGAATAATTACTATCGTATGTCCCGCATAGAAAGGCTCGTAGCACGAATATATTCTATTAAGGGGATTTTTAATTTTATTTATAATTGTTATCTTTTTTTTCGCCGGCCTTGCCCTTGACTTAGCATCAATATTAATTACATTCGTGATACGATCTAATACTTTCTGAGAAAAATAGCGCAAATTTGCATTATTATATATCATGCTACACGCGATGCCACGAAAATCATTTCTATGCTGCGCATCCTCCGGCATAATTTTCGTTAATGCTCGCGAGCTTCATAATTAATTGATTGTAAATTAGTCTCTACTCTAATTTATGAAATTATTCAAAAGTAATAAAAAGCGAGAGAAATAGAGAGAGAGAGAGAGAGAATAATAATAAGCGAGAAACGAGAGGTAAAAAGTGAAAGAAGACTCAAGGAGGTAGCTGTTTTATTTTTATTCAATTTATTCCCGAACGTTATAATATCTTTGCGCAATGGTTATGCCCTTGCTGTTTTAACTATAAAAAAATATCTTCAATTTTTCTATCATTGTCTTTTATTTGCATCTTCGTCTACCCTCTTTTAAATTTAGAAAAATTCAATAACAGTTTAAATATAAGTTGGTACAGTTCTAATCAGTTAAAATCAAAGAAAAAATACACAGTTGAAAATGTATTGTTCAGTTTTATGAGAAAAATTACCGAGAAGAACACAAAGTACAAATAAGATTCGTAGTAAGTACCTGCATAGTCAACGTCTGAGGCGTGGCTGTAAATTCAGAAGAGCGTGACGTTTTGTCTAGTCTTAGAATACCAGGAATCTCGCCTGATCCATCGACCGTGCTGAGTTAACTTGCATACTGTACTTGCCACAGATAATAATTTTTCCAATAGTTATATCCCGAGATATATTAAAGGTACTTGCAATATTTTCTGCACTCAAAAAACGAAGAACCGCGTTGACTAATGTAATTTCAATAACGTAACTTCAGATCACATCAAGAAAGAAAAACTACAGATAGTGTAAAGCGTTTGATTGGTATATCATATCAATTCACGCGCGATTATTACGAGAGGAAGAGCCCAACACTCGATTTAATATTCTTCGGAGATGCGTCACTTGTGACGATCTGCCGGCGTACTGTCTGTAGGAACAGCCATCGGCATATTCGCAATAACAAACGTTGTCGTGCGCGACAATTACGACGTATTAACGTGTGCACGCTAAATACGTATTCCCTTTCTTTTTTTTTATCGCATTAGCAAACGTTTTATCCGCTCACACGCAAATTTGCGTTATATTTTTCAGGAAGTATTAGATCGTATCACGAATGTAATATTGGTGTTAAGTCAAGGGCAAGGCCGGCAAAAGAAAAGATAACAATTATAAGTAAAATTAAAAATTCCATTAATAGAATTAATAGAATATTACTGTGCTGCGAGCCTTTGTATGCGGGGCACTAAATTAATTCAAAGCACAAGCAATAATGGCGAAATATGCAATAGTGCGATGCACGTGCAAGGATGGGGAGATTGAAAGTACATAATTGTCGCAAGTCTCTGTGATCACGCTTATCTTTATTTTTACATTACTTAAAAATATACTGAAAATAAACTCTCTTAAGACGATTGGTACTTTTGGCACAAGTTCGTCCGCTAAACGACGACCTTTTTTTTTTATACACGGGAGTACACTGTAAATGTCGCGGATACGAATAAATGTACGAATTACGTATTACAATCCGTCTCTTCGGACACGCGAGACGTGCGTGAGGTATAACATCCACTAATTCGCCGGAACGCGACTACCGTTCCAATCTTTTAACGATTTATAACACTCCACGGACGTTACTCGTAAGATGCGAATGAATGTACAACCTGTTGAAATCGCGACTCTCACGTTCGTCATCAGGAATATCACTACACTACGGTGATTCATTGACTCTGCATTGAGTGATCGAGAGCTCTAGTAAAACTTTGTAAAAGATATATATTCTCAAAATTCTTATTTCTTATTTAGCAACAAATTTTCACTTGGCAATTTATTCGACAGTTCTTCTACAATCCACTTTTTACGTATATCGAAAAAAGTCATGTACTATACATCTTAGAAGTCTCTAAGTATGACGTATGAGATTCGACTTTGAGCGATCGAGGAGAAAATGCAAACCCTGTCATCCGTTAAATCAAACCACGCGTAAATTTTCTCGTGATTCACGACTAATGAGGATATTATACTTGGACATGTGTTTTCTTCGAATTCTATAACGAAATTATCGGGCTTCGTTTATCGAAAAGCCGAAGGTCGCGCAGATTCGCATTATTCTACTGAATGGCGTTCTGTCATTTGGTGGTGTGGCGAGCCCAGGTGGTTCGCTGCATTTCGGTCATCAGGTCGTTGCGCGAAGGTAATCGGGCGCTCGTCGTGCGGGAGGGCGGCGGACCCGACGATCGCAGGATGGTCGCCATTCCTTTCGGACCTTTCGGACTCTGCAAATTACTCTTGTTGTCCTGATGCATGCCGTAAGCCATCGAACTTTGCTTCGTGCTCGCCTTCTTGATCGCGCTGTCCGTGCGTTTGCCCTGCGGTGGTGGGTCCAGAATTATTGGAGGTATTTCGGAAGAATCGTGCAGATTCGAGCGTTCTTGCTTGACTTTAACATCGGCCGACAGATGAGCCACGTTTCTGTCGTTGGTGCACGGCAAGGGCTTTATGAAAGCGTGATCCGAATTGTCCGTCCCGTAGCTCTCGAGCTTGTGAGCCATGATCGGCGACGAGGAAAAACTGTTCGGTTGGGAGACTCGCAGGGACGCAGAATTTGGAGACAGCTGGGCTGAATTCTGAAAAAGTTGCAAAGGAGACTTTCAAAAATTAATGAGGCAGGATTTTAATTGTGACATCATGTGTTGCGCAGAGTTTTTTTTTCTCCGAATAAGGTCTGAAGTTAAAATGCAAAACTTGATGAAGAAAAATGAAGATAATCACATATTTACTAATTATTACAGAAAACTACAAAAACTATCGCAGTTTTGACAGCTTCGCTGCGTTTACAATTTAATTATGGTAAAATTAAAATGGCTACGCATGTAAATTTTCAATCTTGACGAGGGATTACTCACCGTCGGTCCGCTGCACGGAGGTAGAAGTAGACTTGGGCCCATCGCGTACGGCGACGGTGTATTATAGGGTGATCTCTGGGGCTGAAACGGGCTTAGGTTGTGCAGCCTCTCCAACAGCTGCGTTTGGAATTGCAGCTGATCCGCGACGGTGTTGTTACTCTGGATTCCCATGGCGCCGAGACCGCTGGAATACAGCGATTCCGGCGGATACGTGCAGTACGGAAAGGTCGGTGGATCCAGTTCCCATGGCGAACTCTGGCCCCCGGTCCGTTGGCACTACCCGAGAATACGCAGTTTGGGGAACAAGATCTTTGAAGTCCACGATTAAGAGATACAAAACTGTCCCTCGTCTTTTCTGTTTTATGTATTATACACGTTGTATCTAGTATATAATTATATAATATAGTTGTTCATACAGGGATGATTCTTGATTATATTCCTTAAAAGAACCTAAAATCCAGAACAAGAAAAATATGTCATATCGATGTAAACTTGATTTTTTGTTTTTTTTAGTTATAATACGTTTTAAAAATCCTCGAAATGCTTTCCCATTACAAAGCACGCATACAATAGAATTAATTGATATAGACGTTTAAAATGTTTTGAGCTCTAGATTCAATAAAGCATTGACATGTAATCAAGAATCGCTCTGTATATGCATATATTATATAATTTCGATTTTTTTTAAACTCGAACATTTAAGTGTATGCTAATTTGAACGTAATTCACGTGTAACCGAGCTGAATCTTTAGATTGGTTGAAAATGCAAATCATCGACAAGATTTGTACATCTAGAATTCTTCAATCTGTACATCTTTGTTCTCTTACCTCTTTCTATTCTGGGGTATTTCGTTAGATATTTTGGAACTGAGCCACATCTTTCGATGTCTGACTACGATCGTTTACACCGATAGATTTTAGTAATGAGTGATAATATTACCTAGCATTCGTTGGCAGCATGTACTCCGAAATCCCGTGTGAAGACCTGTTAGACAACACCGTCATACTGGTGGCTTAATTTGTTACTAGATTAGTCGTAATCTTAGTAATGAAATTCATTTCTCGCAATTAGATATACCTCGATGCAAATGCACATGTGTAAGTAAATCGAGAGACAACGTATGTTTACGCACATTTGCGTAAAATCAAAATCACTCGCAACGTACAAAAACTCATTCGCTCCCCGAATTATTTTTTTTACTCGTGCGTTAGTGCAGATTTCGAGATCAGCGATCTTTCTGATTGTTGCTTTGCAATTTTTGCGCCGTGAGGGTCGTAGAGCGAATGCTCGCGCAAAAAATGCAAATAGTCGAGGCTACGGCTGTATTCGCCGTCGACGTCGACGTCTTATCGGCACCAAACGAAAACGCCTAAAACATAGTGCGTGCACCGCAAAGTCATCAGGACAATAAAAAGGAGCACATTCGGAGGTACGTACACATTCGCCGTTATAAAAATGTAGTGTATGAGGGTGGGGGATGGAGGGTGCAAAACCAAAAGTGTGTACAAAACGTTTTATTATAAAGTTAAAAAAAAAGGAGAAATCGGTACAAAAGGCGTTAACGATATTAAAAGACAGAAGAAAAGAGAGAGAGAGAGAGAAAAAATAAAAGAAGTACAAAATGCATTCTGTTAAATCGTTAATCGAGATGCAACGCCGTTTTCGGTCAGTCGGTGCTTCAATTCCAAAACTCCACCGGAGCACTCGTGTCATGGAATTCGGTAGAGCGTTACCTGGCCGAGGCCCGACAGGTCGGAGACCGCCGCGTTCTGTTGCATGGACGCGGGCGTCGGGATTTGCGACTGCGAGGTGACGTGACCACCGGAAACACGCTCCTGTTCCCTCAGGTGGCCCACCAGTGCGCTTATGTGTTCTAGCAATTCCTTATTCTGCACTAGAAGTTGGTGCGTCCTCGCCTGAAACAATCGTAATGCCCACAACAATCGTAAACAGAACTTTTCTATTTATCAAAATATTCGTGAACGTTACGTCGCGTACTTTCTTCGCATTTTTATATTTTAGGCCAAGTACGTGGATAATATCGATCAAAGAACACGATAAAGAGATAGAAAAAAAAATAATCAAACGTATAAATTGTTTTGCGTCTGCTAAATTAGGTTCGCCTTGACAAATTAAGACGCTCCGCTATAAATTACTTTCGATTGTACAGCGATAAATCGCGCGTCGGCAAGTGTTGGCGAAATATTTATGTGTTCTGGTAATTGATTCACTTATTTATACCTGGGCTTCGACGCGCGCTGCCGTTTCCGCCGCCAGCTGATCTTGAAGAAGTCGCGCATGGGCAACGGCAGCTCTGGTTTGTTGACTCTGTTGCTCCAAACGTTCACGCAGAAGCTGTATTTCGTGCTTCAGGGCTGTTAATTCGCCTCCCACCAATAAACCTCCGCACTCGGAGGTCACCGTGCCCTATAAAAAGGAAAGAAGGGAAAACACAATAAATCGATACTTGCAAATTATATACGTTATTACAAATACATACGTGTATCGCAAGGTATCCGATACACCGACGAAGAAAAAAAAAAGCGCACGAACGGAACTACGTGTTAGGCGCGGAGATTACTTCAAAGTACTGAATTGTCTCGGAATCCACAAAAAAAGTACAAGAAACGAACTGTTGCGAAATGGAGCGCAAAGAGAATTCGTCGTGGAATTTACGAGTTGTACCGAGCGACACGGAGCTTGGGAAAGTGGTAAACAATACGCGCGCTGCCGTAAAGCGAGAGCAAGATAACGAGCTATTTTATTTTAAGGCTTTGACTTCATCGTAGCTGCCAGCAGCATTTCACAAAGTATCTTTCACTCGCGCGGTACAAGGGATTCAGTTAATGACGATTTTATTTTAAAAATAGCACGCGCATAACATTTGGTCCTATTTATACGTTCACTAATTGTCTCACCGACGGCGACTGTCTGATTGGTGAGGTAGAGGTTGTCGTTGCCGGTCCATCGTGCGATCGAAGTAGACAGGTAACGGACGTTTGCTCGGGAACCGAATCCTCAGTATCCCCCAATAATGATATGTCTGTAAAAACACAAGAGAAGCGACAGGCGTTACGAACGAAGGCGGTGATGAAAATAAAAGAATTGATGGAGAGATCTTTTTTATCTTCTCTCCATAAGCCGATATTTTAAATTGACTTCTGCCAGTGGAATTAAAATAAACTCGAAAGAGACTCATATATACCAAAAGGATCAATTATGCAAGTTGACATTCACCTTTATGTACTGGCGGCGGAGAAGGCTGAGATTGCTCGTTAGGAATTTCGTCTTGGTCCTCGTAAACATCACCGTAATTTTCACCGTGATTCTCCCCGTCTTTCTCCCCTCGATCCTCCGTGTTGTTTATGCTTAATTTATGGCACACCTCGAAAGCTTGCCCGACCGTTCTCACTACCCTCATCGCTTGACTCTAATTAAATCAGATTTATTGTTATTTTCTTGTAAGGTCAAATAATAAAAAAAAAAACAACAAGATTTTAGAGCAATGAATAACATTGCAAAACATATCAGCGAGCTTCCTATGTCGACTATTTCTCAATAATTCCATTTAATCGTTTAGAAAAATATTATTTTTCCGATGAAAAACGTTCGAATAGAGACTTTACCTCGAGCTCGTCGAGATCCTCGTTCTCTTCCTCGAAAGGATTCTCGTCGAAGCTGAGGTCTACGCTATTCTGCGCATGTATCAGTCTCGGCCGTGTCGACGGCTTGCGCATTTTCAAACAGTTAAAGGTCTCCGGTTCCTTGAAGGAGAGCTTCTTACGCGGCCTGGGTGTTTCAAAGCCCAGAGGGCTGCTAGGGCCAGGACTCGCTGGCGTCGCCGGCTCGGACGAGGCCATCGCCGTGCCCCTCAAGGAATTCTTGAGCATGGCTTACGATTCCCTCTCGCATCCGCTTCGAATTTTCATGCGTTCGCAGCTGCGGACGCTGTCATCCATCGCGCGATCTCTCGTGAGCTACATCTTTTTTTTTTATTTAGATAATTCGTCACTTCTCGTGGCACAAAGGCGAATCGTTTACTTTGAGAGTTTCCTTTGAACTTATTTCAGCCTGTCGAGGCCGTAAAGAACGTAAACACGTATAAAACTTTATGTACCAAATGATCCGCGGCTAATGCGTATGAGAAATTAAACGTCAAGGATCTGTCTCTTTATTTTTAAATCTGACATATATACATATATATATATATATATATATATATATATATATATATATATAAATCTAGAGATATTCTTCACTGTGATATTTTCAATCCTCAATAGTTTGTAATTAACATTCTGTCTGTTTAAAATTAAATAAAGTTTTATCATCCGTTCGTATCGCTCGAAAAATATTAACTCTTGGATTATTATTCTAAGATTATTTATGTCTTTGTGCCTCCACGAGGTTACTCATCTTTAAACCAGATATTTATCCATAACACTTCATACATTAGCTGCAGATCATGAACTAATAACTTTTCGGAGAAATTTTTCGCAATTCGGGGAACGATCTCTGTATTCGCGATATGCAATCTTTCAAGTGTTTTCCTACCGGACGTCCTATATGGATATAATTGTGCAAACATAATCTTTTCGTATAAAATAACACGGATGTCCATTAGGCGCGCGAAAACGTCAATATATGCGAAACGCACGGCGTATTCCACGCGAATTATATTAAGTAAACGTTTGCGGACGTCTAAAATGCATTATCCCTGACACCGTGACCGTCGCAGTAGTAATACCGTAATAGCGTTGCACCGACATCGACGATTCCCGGTAAGTAATCGTAACCGTTGCAATAATCGCGGAACTTCATGTCATCCGCGAGATTTCCGCGTGTCTGCTTTCGCGCGCGCGCAAAAAAAACGTATTTATTTAATTATTTTACGTTCGCGAGTGCAAATTCGCGATATACCTGCAGTGAATTCGAAGAATCGACATTGCCTGTGTATAATAAATGTCCGCGCGGATAGTTTTCAATTATAAATAGTCGCCGTGGATTCGATCTGGCAAATTCCCCGCTAAATTGTGCTTAAATTGGAAACTGGTGCGGACTCGCGTCGCCATTCTGCGAAGAGCCGCGTATTGTCACGATTCTTTCGACTGCTCGATTCTTTCGACGCACCGGCTTAGGTACACGGCAATCGATTTTACTTTAATTTTACTTTAACGTAAAAGATTCCATTCAAAAAATCTTCAAATTGAGAAGAAAAAGAAAATAAAAAATTTGTAATCGAAAAGCGATGTGGGTCACCACATATATTTTTCATCTCTCTAGGTACTTGGATTATATATTATCAAACTGTAACTACAATATCTCTCTCTTTCACTCCTTCACATAAAGATGAAGAAAAAGTTGCAAATTAAAAATGTCCCACGATTTTTCCGTCAGCGGTTACGATTAGGAATCGTCGATATTAATGTAACGTTATTACGGTATTATAATTTTATTACTAAATGCAAATTGTACACATCTCGCTCTTGATTCTTCTATCATTTTAAAAACGACAGATGCCACAAAAAATCAATGTAAGCGGACCAATGATATACGAGATATTTGAGAGATTCATTACGAATGTTAACACATTGATCAGCTGTTTTATATAGAAATTAAGCCGGTTATTTCTCACAATAATTCAACAATGAACAAAATTTCGTGTAAAAAAATTTTATGTGAAAAAAGTGAGAAAAAAACAAACCGTAACAAAAAGAGTGAAGAAAATATAATCAACAAATCCTATATAATAAACACTATTAATTTTAAGCTCTAAAAACTTCACGATTTAAATTGTCTCTCTAAATACGAGCGAATCCGTCATCGGTTAATAATGTTCGAGTAATAAAAGACGAGCTGCTCCGATCAATAAGGCGTCAAGTACAAATGCACGTCAATTATCAAATTATTTTCCCGTAACGCTGCACACGCACGCACGCACGCACGCACATACGGGCACACCGAGGTTACGGCTTCTTAACTGGGGAAGGTATGAAAATAAACCCGTCAATTCGCGTCATACGGGGGGAGTTATCGCTGGGTCTATCTCAACACGCATCTCACTGTTCGATCGTCAAAATCACTGTACGCGGACTCCTCCCCGTCGGGCACGTTTTATTACGTCGCCCCGCGCGCGAATCTCTTACCCGTGTGCGCTGTCATGTTACGCGGGGCGCGACGTTTCGCGCCGTCTCTCGTAATCAAACAATCCTATTTCCACTCGCTCGCCACTTCGCGCATCTCTCAATTCGCGCCCGATCGTTCAATCACCAACCGCGGTGGTTTAATCCCGCCGCTGCTTGCGCGAAAATCACACGCACACACGGACACCTCCACCGGCGGGGATCCGTCAGCGGGAGACCGTCCGCGCGGTTCCCATCCGGGCGCGCACGTTGCACCGGATTCGTTTCGGGTGTCGAGTATCGGGGGTAAACGAGACGAGAGAGAGAGCGAGAGAAAGAGAGAGGAGCGTGGAGGGAAAAGAAAAGGAAAAGGGGGAAAAGAGGGAAGGCGGCCGCGCACCGCGCGATTTGTGTACAAGTCCTCGCGAACGGGAACGCGAGAGCCGAAGTTAACCGTGCGGCTTCCTACCGTGGTTTCTTGGCCAGCGGCGTGCAGAGGCGCGCAAGCACGTCGCCCGCGTCGGGGCTATACGTGCTTCGCTGGATTTTTCCTCCGGTTTATTTATAAGCGCATTAATATTCTCGCTTTCGGCCCGCTCAATGGCACCACCTCGTCCCTTCCTCTTTCTCTCTCTCTCTCTCTCTTTCTGTCCATTCTCACTCGATCCAAACTCGACCCTCGTTTACGACGTTCATCCTAAACAATAAATCTATTTTGTATTTTATTACGGGACGTATATATTTCTGTACATCGCGCACTTTCTTTATCTTCTTTTCTCGAGCAAGGCGAAGCGCGACGAAGAGCGAGCGGAAGCTATCTCGTTGATTTACTGACCGCTGTTCTCTTAACTGGAGTAGTAAATGAAGTGAATAGCGGAGAGTAAATAGCCGGGAGAACCCCTTACTTGAGAATTCTAGATTTAAATCGGTCAATTCTGATACGCGAACCGCGGCCGTGGGCGATCTGCTTGCAATGCCGTGTAGAATCGAGATATAGACAAGCGATTATTCTCGGATTAACTGCATTGTAGAAGTTGCTCGAGCAATTGCGTTCTACTACTCCATTACGTGTGGCCGTGAGCAACTTAAAATTCGATTTTACAAATTCAGTTTTTTTTTAGGATAAACTGTCGATCGTGAAAATATTTATCTGTTACAATCTCGTATCTATTTCAATCTAATTATGCAATTTTTATTTAATCTTTTTTTATAACGCAACAAATTGGACATTAAGCATCGCGACGATTTTTATCGGATATTCGAATTGATTTTTCGCGCTTGCGATTTTCAGTATTTTTTTTCTTCTTTCCAAAATTACGCGTAAAAATAAACTTCCTCGACTTAACGCGCTTCGTCTATTCTCCTAATTACGTCAGTCCGCTTTCTACCGCGGTGAGATTGATGGAAATTGACTCGACTGAAGAAGCGAAAGTGGCTCGATGGCTTTGTACTTCTGTTTCTGCGTCCAAAAGTAAATCGCGAGTCCCGCGAGGGTATGGGGCGCACGGAGACCGAGGAGAACGCGGAAAGCGAGACGGTACGTCGAAATTCGCACACACGACGTACGCTATTCTACAGCCCACCCCGATGGCGCGGCAAGTCATTTCACGGTCGACCGTTCGAGAGGACTCCTACATCCCTCCGGGGCTGATAAATTATATATCGTCGCGTGTCAAGCGTTTCTCCTTCTGTTACAATTCGCAATTATCTTACGTAGCTCCTCGAAGTGTACGCCCCTGCGTATCGATCAAGTGAGTGTAACAAACTCTGGGAATCCTTCGTATCTATAGACGTACGTAGTATTGCATGTAAAAAATTGTCGCGTTACATTCTTGAGCGAGAATTCGCGAACAACTATACGAAGTTCACGGCGCGCACGAAGTTCAAAGTGGGGCTGCGCCATTCGCAAGGCAATGGACGGAGGACTTCGAGTGTGAAACGACGAAAAAATAAAAGGAAATAGCTCCGAAAGTAAACGACCTTGTACGTGAGCGCGAGTTCTTGTCTCCCGTCGCAAAGATAAGGCGCAGAAAGTACGGAAGTACCGTCCATTAGGAGAGTAAGCGCCACAATTCTTAAAAGTTGACGCAGACGATGGCAAATAGAGCGACTTACTAGGGCAGCGGGGGAAACGAGAAAAAGCTTTTCGGGTACTTTTGCCCGATATCGCAAGTTCAAAACTTCAGCCAAGGCGGATATTTCTGCGGCATCCTAGATATATCGTCTCCTATGGTCGCCGGTTTATTTCTGGATTCACCTAGATTTTCAAAGCGACCGGAATCCCCAAATAATCAACAAAGGAGAGACACGAAAACGTCTGCATTCACCGATGTCTATCAACACGAAGACAAGTGTCCAGGATACGCGTGTGTGCGAGGAGCATAACGGGTATGTAAAAAAAAAAATCTCTCATTCTCTCGTCAACGAGAGTTTGCGGTGCAGAGACCTCTCTCTTCCTCGAATAACTTTTTGTACTCGCGTGCCGCCCGGCGCGCGGTAGAATCGCGGGACAAACAATACCGGGCACTTGTAAGGGTTCTATCGCAGGCGGAACTCCCTCTCTTTCCTCCTTCCCTCGGGGAAAGCGTTTCACCGGGTGAGTTTCCGGACTTGCGAGAAGCTCGGATTTGCGAGACGTCGGTCGCCTGCAGCCCGTCGTCGATGTCGCGGAAGATCGTGCCGGCCTATACCGGACTATTTTAATAACTCGGTGCCAAACGGCACAGCCGCGAGCCGCCACTGCAAATACGCGACAAAACGACACGACAACGTCCCTCCCTCTACGCCGCGTCGCGGTCCCGTTACGCGCTTCCTCCCCCGTCGCGGTTTCACCGGGCCATCCCTCCACCCACGCGAGGAGGCGAAAATACACTCTCACTTCGACAGGGATGCAGCGCGAACGGTACCCGCCGCTCCTCCGCGCGGCCCGCGGCGCGTCTCCGCGACGGCGAAATGATCGGCCGAGGGGCGGAGGGCGAGGGAACTGTCCGTCCGAGGAGCCGCCCGCGTTTATTTATAGGTTTACAATAACGTAAGTTGATGAAGCGCCAGACGACGGACGACGCGGGCTGCGTGAATTGTCGCGTATGTGTGTACGATCCACGCACGTGCGCGACGTGTAAATCTTGCGCCGGCTGTTGCATATGGCGAAATGGATCCGCGAAAATAGAAGAAAAATGGGCGAGGATTGTCCAACCGACACTCACGACCGGGTTTCGTCTGATTGCGCATCTGTTTGCAATCCTTTTTTTTTTTAAAGTAGCTGCAGTGGAGAACAAAAAAAAACAACGCCTTGTGTTGCACGACTACGTCCGTATGTGACCTTTTCCTGATGTAGTCCGAGATCATGTCCGACATAGGAAGCTCGACGATATGTGTAAATTGAAGATTGAGCATATAAATTACTATCGCGCGGATAAGGTTGGCGCTCACCTTTTTGCTAGATTTGAAGACGTTACATTTGAATGTATTGCTGCTCCCGTCACGGGCAATGTAACTAAATATTTTTAAATCGTGGCTGTCATGCGAGACGTAGAATATCCTGAAGAAAAAAAAGCGTACATTCTGCAGTTTTTGCTTCATTCAAAAATTATTTCGGGGCGTTGCGCATCATTTCCCGATTATTTTTCACGTAACACATTGTGATGTCTTTACAATGGCAAGCTTACTGTTTTTTATGCGATACTTTCCATCGCGTTCGTTCACTGATATTTCGACATTGCGTATGAAGTAGAAATTACAAAAAGATTGAGTTTTAAAATTGACTCGGTCAAAAGAAAAACCGCACTGCAGTTACGATAAGCAAGCGAACGGCGATGCGACGCGACGCGATCTCACCTGTAAATCGGATGGTGCATCAGATATATTTTATTCTCATCCATCCATTGCTGTTGCTTCTTCTGCAAAAAAAAAATCACGAACGGCGAGTCATTACTTCGGGAATATTGTTAGCTAATATTGGCTGTTACCGCTATCTGTTTGCCGTGTGTATAGCAACGAGAAATATATGTGGCGTCCATGTGTATCAGTGCGAGTACAACGTGGCGCTTGTCCAAAATCATTTCTCGTTATAAATTGCAACTGTTACGAAATGCGCGTCATCGAGCGTACGCGATTTTACCTCCTTGTCCCCGTCCCCCAAATATTCACGAATATGACGTCGATGTCGTACATCTTCCTTATTTTACGCAGACGTCGCGCGCGGAGATCTTCTTGTCGCCAAGAAGAATTGAGCCGATGTAGCAAGCAAAACGACGAAATAGCGCGTGGAAAATATATTTGTCAACGTAAAACTCCACGGAAAACAGAAACCAGTTAAATAACAGAACGGATTTTGCGAGATCAGTTAGATACAGTGAGAACAGTAGAAAAGTGTCACTTTTAGCAAACTAGGGTTGAGTATTTTTATCGGATACTTAAATCACTGAAATCTACGACAGTAAATTCTAATGTAAGCCTCCTCTCTTCATTTCTTCTGCAAATTATGTGATATACCGTTGAGGCTAACAGACTCATTTTGCTCGCTCGCTGCATGTGCGGGAATTAGCTTATCCGGCTTAGATGGGGGTTAATGAGATGATTTGAGATTAATCAAGAGAGACATCGCGCTCAATCATATGCGCGAAATACGAGCGCGTGTAGGCAACGTGGCATTTACGTAATTAAGGATTACCTTCTTTTTCCGTAGGGTCACTTTCAGCCCATCCACCGAGACTTCCAGCGTCACTTTCTTTTTCTTGATGCCTTTGGCCTTAAACTCGTACTGCGAATCAAACGAGCTCGGATTAAAACGAGGCGATCCGCGGTTGCGAAGACAGAGCTGCGTATACCGCTTTGCCTGTCTAACTGGGTTAATTAGCTATTACGCGTACTCACGCGGATTCTTCGCATCGCCGCCACGATCTCCACTCGGCTAGTCGGTCGCGGAACCTCCATAGAGCCGATGAACTGAAACGGAAAGAGGCGGTTCGCTCAGATAACAATTGACTAACAATTCGCTGGGTGAAGGGTAGAATAAACTACGATGTCCTTCTTTTTGGAAAAAAAAAAGACTGTATTTATTGTGTTTTAAGATCTATAGGCCCGCGAAAGGTTCGATGCAGCCTCGGTCATTCTACAAGCCCCGCATTTCTTTCAAAAGAAAGAATTAAAATTAATTTCTTTTTAAAAATTTAAGATTAATTAATTGTAATGAAACTTCTCGAGATACGTATCTCTCTTCACCAAACTGGTAGGATCTAGGAAAAATAATCAATGCCTTAATTTTCTCTCGATGGAACAAACGTCTCAAACTCTTTGTAATGAGATTTCGATCTTTCGTAACAAGGACCGTCCCGCTCGCGTTCGCGTAGCGCAAACGCACTACACGTAGTTATGTATAGCTGGCCGTAATCATACCGCGAGAGGAGCATGGTCCGACGATCTGTATTTAGAATTCCCCCATTGAAAGCGATGGCGTTAGCCACGTGTTCGGGTGATTCGACGCACACGTGGTGTTCTCCCACGCAAACGCTTGCGACAGGAAGAATCCCTTTGTAAATTTGCAATCGATACCCGCGGCGCCTCGGCGATAACCGTGAACGAATTGAAGAAGAGCTTAGCTCGCGTGCGTAAAATCACCCTGACTCCGCGTCTCTCGTCTCGTTGGTCCACTGTGGAAGGAAAAACCTTCGTTTGCAGAAATCGATGTATAATACGACGGTATTACCGCTGATTGTGAGTTGAAATAAATTTCGTCATCGAGCTATTTCCTATATATTACGATACCATAAGGTATACGCGCGTTACTTCGTACGTATGGATGCAATATTAATAGCAAAGTTTCTCTCTCTTTCTGCGGAGTATATCGATCTGTATTTATAGCCCCACTAAGAGCTAAAATCTGAATTCTCGAATAGCATTGTACGTACGATTCTCGTACAAGACAAATCACAGGAACAAACTAATTTTTCGTATTAAATACAAACACAAATATGATTTTTAGTTTTTCAATTTATCATTATCAATATTCAATTTATCAGCTTAATTATGGCAAATATGGGTTAGACTATTAAATCTTTTTTTTTAGAATATAACAAGATCATCATTTTCTTCGTGCCATCAAAGAGGAAACATTGCTTGAAAAAAAGGGACAATGATCCCTTCTTGATCGAGACATTGAATTCGTCTGAAGATTCGATTCGCAGGTCGCTCGTCCTCGAAATTTCATTTTCGGGGATACTTTTCTCGGGGTTTGCCAAATAAACGAGGTGTCCGTCCAGAGTTCTATGAACCGGGAAAGTTTAAGAAACGCCCGTACGGACCTCCCTTTAGAGACGCCTCTCGATTCGGGCTCCTACGTAAGCGCGAACGTCAACGACGAAGGCGCGCACACGGCGGTAAATCAAAGGTCGAAAATTCCGCCCCGCGCGGCCGGTTTTCGCGCGGCGCACGCGGGGGATTTACGAGCGCGTGGCGCTCACACAAAAGCTTTAACCTTTCTCAGCAGAAGTGCCACCGAAATAAACACGTGTGCACGATACGATGACGTCACGGAGAACGCGAAAACGGCGGAACGGCGTCGTCGTCCAGAAATAAGCCACCCGGTATCGCGGCTGTCGTCGCAATTATTGCACCATCGACGACGACGACAAGCACGACCACGACCACGACCACGGCTCACGACGACGACGACGACGACGTAAAAATATTATTCCAGAGCGCGATCGCGCGGGCGAGTTTCCTAGAATCGATTTCGTTTGAGAGAGAGAGAAACGGGAAACGCCGCGATATTGTCTTTCCTAGGCGGTTACGTTAACTCGTTCACCGTCATCGGGGCGACTGCAGTTTGCGTCCGCTTGGCGTTTCAGTACCGTTGCAAAAGGATCGCCGGCGAGGTCTTTATTGCCCATTGTGAGAAATAATACTAGAAGCGAATAGATAAGAAAATGAGATACCAGCTGCGCGCACGTCTCCCTCTCATTTTTTTCCCCTCTCTCAACTATGCATACAGTTTTCCAAATTCACTTAGAAACACCTTATAGACGCGGCAGTATTATGCAAAGGTGGTCCCCCGCTTTCGCAAATTTGTCTTTCCGTCGATACGAATATACTTATAATATTTCGCTGAAACGGCACTAAGAAGGCGCGAAAATTCTTTCTTAGCGCAACCGTGTCAAAGCAGATGCTTTCGTTCCCATCGCGCGGCGGTCAGAGGAGCGAAGCGTGGTTTATAGTCGACATACATTTTCCTCTGACGTGAGACGCTATCGACCGTTAGTGTTGCTATTTTCTGAAAGCGTGCACTCGCTCGGCGCGAAACGCACGACGGAATTTTTGCAATTAGAAATTCGCGTCTAACGTGCTGATTGTTATTCGGAGCGATTTGACAGTGTTACGTCAGTAAGATCAATATCTTTTTTTTTTTTCGGGCCACGACTGTTCGAATTTTACATAAATTTGAACGGGAGTTCGCTCGACAGTCTAACAGTAGTAAAAAAACGTTTAACGATCTGTTCCCTGTTTTTAATGTTTCTTAAACATTTTTTAACGTCTTTAACGAGAACTCGTATTTTTCGGCATTCGTACGGAGATCGGAAATACAGAAACCCGACGATGGAAGGCCGCAAGGTGGTAACTTCAGGCTGTGACGGGGGGACTCGCGGCCGCGAGAATTGAGAAAAACGAATAGAGAAGCCGTCGGAGGTTGCGCGTATGGACCGAAGTGGATAAGAAATCACCCCAGATTACCTTGGCGTGGAACACGATTCCGCGGTGGAACGCCTCCTCGCTGTGCAGCGGTATTCGCGTGTCGTACTCGTCATTATGTACGAGGTTGTACTGCTTCTTAGAGGGCATGCTGAGCCCAGCTGCATTCGACTACGCTCGTCCAGCCTGGCTGCAATTATAATAAACGGCCCATTAGCATTCTCATGCATGGATAAATGGTTCCCGTAACGGACGGTCTCTTAACAAATAAAGGCAGTTGTCAAATCTCAAAGACACTTCGTGCGGCAAAGCTGCGTAAAGAAACGTAAGAAACCGGATGGTAGAATTAAATGCACAAGTGTTCTCGATGACATTTGCACGATTTTTCACAGCTTTACACTGTTAAATCTCCAGTGTCAAATTTAACCCAATTTGAATTAATCGCGACTACTCCTATTCAATATATCGTTATTTTTAACCAAAATAATGAAGGTTAAACAGTTTAAAATAGTTCACAAATTTAACCCAGTTAAATTTGACAATACAGATTTAACAGTGTATAGAATGCCCGAATCATCGCCTTTAATCTCTAGAAGCGATTGTTTCTAGAATAAGTAAAAAAGAAACTTAATTCTATAATTATTCCTGCTTTTAAAAGAAACGAATTGTCTAAAATTCTTCGAATTATTGGGCCAAATTCGCCAATTCGAATTGTTTAAATTCTTAATTTTAACTAACGGAAATCCTGCACTCTCTTCTCTCTGTCTCAAATCGGGGGTTTAAATCGATAATTAGGATATGTCTGGGATAGGCGTTTTCTCTTTAAGTATCGAGATACTCGTTACGAGAGGTCGTCAATTTTACTTTTTATCGGAAGCGATGAAAATATGTGAGCCGGCAATGAGCAACGATACATGCGTGTTACTACTACTAAACCATGTTCGTGACTGCGCTGCATATATAGTCATTTTCGATGCACTTAAAAGGTACACGATAACTTGTAAGCGCTGATTTCCTATCGTAAGCGCACGGTTGCTGTTTCATTCACGGAACACCGCGGGTATGTTTACCGTAGGCGTGTAATTCACGATAACGATCCAATTTACGCGATTGATGTAGTGGTGCTAGAGCGCGAGTACCGGAATCGGAAATTTCGTGACTTCTTAAAAAGTACCTTTCCATTAAACAAAAAAAAAGTTCTATGTAGATAATTTAAATTAATACTTATATAAGATGTATATGCGTCTATTTGTACAAAGCCGACAGGTGAAAATCTGAATGTTCACGCATATAAAATCATGATCTATAATTATTTGAAAAATCGCGATGTTAAAAAGAAAATAAAGGACACTGTTCGCGACTAATGCACATACCAATGTATATCGAATGTCAAGCTGAAGTTTTCATTTTGTAATACCCGCGCGGGCAAAAGTTACGCGATATAATTTAAACACAAAATTATTCCTCGACACTTTCGTACAAAAACGGCGTGCCCTTGGCGAATTCTTAATTTTTTTTTTTGCTTGGAGGGGAAATTTTTTTTAATCACGCGAGCGGAGAGAGCTATACAGCGCGATCACAGAGGCTGCACGTTTCAGAAATTCAGAGAACACTCGGCGGTAGTCGCGGCTCGTGATACCGTAGGGGGAGAGACGCGCCGCCGTTTCCGCCGCGAGATGCCAGCCGCGAGATGCATCATCGAAGGAGATGCCCCTTTGTGCACGCGCACCTGAGCTAAGCGGCGTTCACACCGGCGAGGGCGCGGTGCAGCGCACGCCTGTAGACAAAGAAAATCCGCGCGCGCCTAAAGTCCGAACGCGTGGTAAACGGTGTCGGGGAGCTGCGAGAAATACGCAAACGGTGCACGTGCGACGCATACGTACAAAGAGATGTCTGTCAGGATCATCTGTTTACAATGCGCGCGAGCTCCGTGAAACACTTGCGGCGCCGCAATCCGAGATCTTAGATACCGGAGTAATGTAAGCTACCGCGTAAAGTCCGGGATACTTCGTCCTGAATTTATGCCTTCGGTAGGAAAATCGTTACGTAAATTATTGAAAAAAAAGAGGCCATGCGCGATGCTTTTATCGGGGAGAAAGCCAACAAGCGCGTCTCCGCGTAACAATTCGTTCGACGGGGGGATGGAGCTGATTTCCGCGCGTACGCGATTTTAAAGCAATTTTGCGTTTTTTTTTTGTGCTCGTGCAAAATCATCGAGATTATTGTAGCGCAGGACGTGGAGTCCGACAGGTTCCACTGAGCGTACTAAGAATTAATATAATTTTACGCGGTTTATCAATATAGCTTCGGTTACTCCATTCCGCTATTATACACGTCGAACGATGAATGAAGCGCTCTATCACATGTTACGTTCATAAATAAAATCTTAGCCGCGTTCCAAGATCAGAGGATCTCGCTGCGGGCACCACGTGCTTCCCCCGCAAGGTGCAGCGCAGCGGGTTCGACGAACCGAAAAGGCTTCGTTCTCCATTCGAAGACGAGTTCTTTCGGTGCCAGCGCGACGGACTCGTTCGATCGCTGCAGGCTAAAAGAAAAGGGGGGGAGAGGAAAAAAAAGGACAGGGAGAACGAGAGGGAAAAGGGGGATGATGAGACACGGTTGAAAGTACCTTACCGGCGGTCTCTTACCTAAAAGCTGATTGGACGATCGGCCGGCGTTGGTTCCGTTCATTAACCGCGGTAATGCGACTCCTCGGCGAGGTACGGCCGGATGACGGTCCCCGCGCGAAAATCGATTTCACGTGTGAACGCAGCCTTACGGTGGCGGGTAGGCCGGTCAGGCGAGAGGGGTACGCTCGCGTTCGCGCACGCATTCGGGTTCCGCTGTAATAAAGGCGGCGAGGAACCACCGACGACGAGCCATACCACGTTACCGCACATATACACACGCAGGTCTCGGTCGCTCGCTCGTTCGCTCGGTGCAGGTAGAGGCCAGTCCTCTCGCTCTCCTTCTCTTTCTCTTTCTCTCTCTCGCTCTTTTCTTGGAAACAGATGACAGAGCGGCACGGTCACCGCGGCTCACCGGACGTTTCGCGTCCTGCGGGATTACACGGGGCAATTACTCCGACCATTCCGCGCCACCGGGGAAGAGTCACCGAACGAACCCGCGGTTTATCACACTGCGATCACACGGCAATTCGCGTTCCGTTTATTCACGGCGACTCCCGGTCGTGTCGGGGAGCAGAATCGGAGCGCGTGTGCGACGGACTCGAGGCGCTCCGTGAACCGCGCGCGCGACCAGCTTGACGAGAGACAATGAAGGAATTCGAGAGGAGAGAGAGAGGATGAAAAAGAGAGAGGAAAAAAAATGGGGAGGAGATGCGAGCGCGAAAGAGGATTTCACGAGAAAGGAGTGCAAGGGAGCAGGGTAAAGCTGCGGCTCGCGCGAGCGACAGAACAATATTTATACTGACATATAGCACGCTGACGTACGCCGCGGCACCTCCAGCGTGCCTCGCGCGCCGCGCACTTCGGTTATCCCCGCTCGCTCGAGCCCGAGGAGTCGATAGACCGCCGCACCGCAGCAACGCGCGCGCTACCGCTCCTCACGCTCTCGTGTCTCGCGCCCGCGTCGGGCCCCGCGAGAGCGGGAGAGAGGGAAGAAAGAGAGAAAGAGAGAAAGGGGGAAAAAAATGTGTCCGTACCCCCGCTACCCGCGTCGCGCCGCGCGGCGTGGCTCGCTCGGGAACGGGAGAACCACGTATACTGCGAGCAGCGCGAGGGGCGCGCGCGCGTTCTCGCTCTCCGGGGGAGTCTAGTCGCGGCGACGACGACGCACCATGCGCGGCGAGCGTTAGCGCGCGCAGGGCCCTACGGACGCGGTACGCGACGCGGCATCCCCACCGCGAGCGGCACCCGGCATCGCACTGAGAGCCGTGCCCGCGAGCCTGTATATAGCCGGCTTGCGCCGTGCGTGCGGTGCGCGCGCGCGCCCGCGCCATGCCGCGCCGCCTCTACTTTGTGAGCTGACGCGCGTTCGTCGCGTCGCCGAGCACGGCCGGCCGAGGCCGTCAGCCGTCGTGCCCGAGGTCGCGACCCACGACCGATGCGCGAAACGAGAGAGATGTTCTACCACTCGGCACTCTCTCGGCAGCCGCAGACCACGTGATCGGACAGTGTCGTATATATTGGAATGCAAGAATGAAGCGACGTTTCGGGATCGCATAATTTTTTTTCAGCGTACATATAGACGTTACGCGACAGATTTTATTGATATCATAAACGAAAGGGAATTATTTAGTTGGCATGATAAAATTAATGTCCTATTTTTTTTCTTCTACCTTCTTTTTTAATGTAATCTTGGAGGGTACGTTTAAATGTAAATTAAAAGAAATCCCAGAAATGTAATTATAATTTTGTATCTATTGTTAAATAGATATTGTTATTCGCGATTTTTATATTAACATAAAGAACAAAATTAAAAACTGAAATTTAAAGGCTTATTCAGGCCTTTTGACAAACTCTTGCATAGCTGCATATATATATGCATAAAGAAAATTCTCCCATTACATTTTACGTATGTATCTGTGTACTCCGAATGACAGAAATGCGATAGGATAATTTTTTTGATGTATATTAATTAAGCAGTTACGGGAATTTGTCTGGACAGGCTCTAATGTGACAACAATTTTGTCCAATTGCATCGCGCGTGGATGAAGGACTACAGCACCATCTGACGTGACAGGTAAGAGAACAACTGAAGAGAGAGGTGTGCCCCTCTATTTAAGTGTGTTCCTCGGTACATGAAGGTTAGGGACGCCATCTCGGTGCCTCGATCTTTTCCGGTTGTATGGCCGATTCACAAGGTAACCAAGTTTTCACGATGGAAAATATTTTATAGAATCCGCAGCGATCCGCCGTTGTATCGAATGCGATAATTCGACGTTATATGTTTTTCGAATTATTGCTTTTTGTGCTCCCGTTGTGAAATATTATTTTTTTTCTTTTGTAAAACTCAAAGTGTCTAGCGAACGAGGTGTGACGTTTGTCTAAAAGAGACACATATTCCTATTCAAATAAAGATATATAATCTACTCAAATAAAAATATATAAATTACGTACGAAAAATTAATGTGTAAATTTTTGTAGAAAGTTATGCGACTGCTATTCGTCTATTTTGTTTGTTGATTTATGTGAACATGTGGTTTTGAACGATAACCTGTTCTAACCTATAAGCCACTATATTGAGACTCTTAAAGAATTCATTCCACTTGTATATTATAGTAAATACAATAAAATTACAGCAATGTGTTTATATTACAATTTAAAGAAATTTTGTGCGATGAAAATAAAACAATTCTTACTTGGAGTAGCACTTCATTTGTTGATAAGAAGATAATAAATATAAACAATCTCTCATAGTATATAGATTTCTAAAACAAAAACTTACTGATGTATCTCAGAATTTATAGTGCTTTATTGTTATGATAGTTTAGATATAGATCACTTATTACAAAAAATAAAAAGTGAATATATGTAATATAAAATTTTTTGTTGCAGAATGAAACAAATCGTCACTAATCAAACGGTTAAAATCCCAGAGGGATTGACTGTTACAGTCAAGTCCCGTCTGGTAACGGTGAAAGGACCGAGAGGTGTATTGAAACGATCCTTCAAACACCTCGCACTAGATATTCGTGTAAGTAGAACTTTTTTTATTATAAAATACAGGATGTATTTCTTGAAGAATTATGCTCCAGTAATATTTTGTAATTTTTTTTTATCAACGTTGGAGGAATCAAATCTGTCTGTGATGAGAATTTGGATTCCCCTTCATTTCCCATAAATGATAAAAACCGCACATCTGAAATATTTTTATAATTTACATCAAGATGTACAATGTTTACATTTATATCTTATGAGTGTATATCTGTTTTTTTTTTATTAGATGGTCAGCCCGAGGTTATTGAAGGTGGAAAAATGGTTTGGTACGAAAAAGGAGCTAGCTGCTGTTCGTACCGTATGCTCGCACATCGAGAATATGCTTAAAGGTGTGACGAAGGGCTACCAGTATAAAATGCGAGCTGTGTACGCTCACTTTCCCATCAACTGTGTCACTACGGAGAACAACACAGTTATAGAAATTCGAAACTTCCTGGGCGAGAAATACATACGTCGTGTCAAGATGGCATCGGGCGTGACTGTTGCAAATTCTGGCAAGCAAAAAGATGAATTGATTATAGAAGGAAATTCCTTAGAAGATGTATCTCGTTCAGGTAAATATATATAAGTAATAAGTTATAAATATATATAATTAATATTTTTTTGTCACAAATGAACTTGATAACCTTAATAAATATTATTTTTGTTCTATTTTTTTTTAGCTGCTCTCATTCAACAGTCAACCACAGTGAAGAACAAGGATATTAGAAAGTTTTTGGATGGACTTTATGTGTCTGAAAAAACAACAGTTGTACAAGATGATGAATAAATTTTTTTAACGTATGACTGAATAATAGAATTTATGCACATATTTTTATTGACCCAATATTGAAATAAATGTATTGTTTTTATTATTTCTATCAAAGTTACTTCCCTATGCACGTAAAAAATAACTCCTAATTAAGTGCATCATGTTGGTTTTCACTATTTTTATTTAAAAATTATGTATTTTATCGTTTTAGTGAGATGCGTGCAACGTAAAAGAAATTACATTATGCAGACATTCAGTTTGTTCTTTATTAATTGCTGATTTATTATTAGCAAACGAGATATTGATTATTACGCGCTTTTATGCGCAGGTAGATAATTGACCTTTGTTAATTGAACTGTCGAGCATGTTCTTCATTGTAACAATATCAAGAGCACGTGAGCACAGTTGATAGAGATGCGAGATCGGGTCAACGGTCGTGGATTTTATTGTGATAATAATAATCGTTTGGGACGAATTTTTATTTTAACAATATCAATGTGTTATTTCATTTTGCACGCGGAAACGGATCATTAACAAGAGATGCAAACGGACATACATGAAGACATCTATTAAATTTGTCTCTTCGCAACATTATTTAAGAAATCTATCTTATGTTCGTAATATTATGTCGCGCGTTTTTTTTTAGAAGTTTTTTAAAAACTTTGTTTCTTGCGTTATGTTACGCAAATAGATAAAATATAAATAAAATCACGAAATGTAAAATTTTAATGCAGTATATATTGTCTACGAAGAAACCGATGCTTATTTCTACAAACTACAATTTTGATTAAATTAGAAGCATAGAATCCCACTTCACATGCAGACTGATTGCAAATACGTCAGAAAGACAATTTGAGGGAAGGAGAAAAAACGATCAGCATTTTAACAGAAGTGAGAGTCAGAGTTCCACATAATTTTCCAGTCTCACCTTTTACTTTTCTGATTGCTCAATCAACGTAATACAAATGCTTTTAATAATACAGCACGTGTCGAAACACATACATCTCAGAATAAATAAATAAAATAATATAATAAATGAATGAGAAAGAGTAAAAAACAATAAAAAGATAAACTAAAACGTAAAAAAAATTAAACAGACAATTGAAAGATGAAGTTTGTGAAGAAAAATGTAAGCTGATCTTTTTTTGTTGTAGTACTATATATACATATATATACGACGGGTATACAACTTGGAGAGAATGGAATTATATCGAAGTACACTAAAGCGCCGAAGGCGTCGAAAAAAACGAGACGTGCATACGTAACAATGCAAAAGAGGAACACATCATCAAACTTGTAAGACGTAATATCTTACCACAGTTGAAATAAATCAGAAAAGATTATCAATAAAGCAGTAAAGTTATGTATAATATATAAAAATAATATATAAAAAAGCTGTTACGATTATATTAGAATATTCTTGCTTTGTTCAACTTATATAAATTTAATTTACATTATCTTCTATAAGTAGAAAAAAATTGATTAACTGAACTGAGAGACACAGTGTTATATTTTATCTCGCAGTCAGCTATTAAAAGACATTTAATGGTTTTTATCCATACGAATGATGAGTGTTATAATTGTAAAAATTAACATATATATATATATTGCAATGCTTACGTAAATATGTTAACGAGTAATGAATATATGAATTATAAGAAAAAATATACACATTTATTATGTATTATGTGTTATTAAATCAGAACGTAAACTTTGAAATCGAGCAGTCCACTAATATTAGATATTATACATAGATTATAAAAGATTGTAGGATAAATAATGCAACGTTAGTTCAAATTATCATATCCTTAACATGCGCCGTTCTTCCTAATGCATTAATTAGAAGAGTAATTAAATGTTATCGCACATTGCACATTGATTGAATCCTTACCTTTGGACTATTACATATATATATATAGATAAGATATATCACCTTTGGACTAACATTCTAGTAAGTACGTCTGATCGTCGTCGATCTTTCAACTTTGTTCTTTTTTTTCGTGCAAATATAATTGCGACAAACATAATATGTATATTGGACCTCGATGATGCAGAAGAGGTAAATGATATTCGATAAATTGCGCTAAAAAGATTGAAATCCGTAAATTGAACTCTTCATCGTCTCTAATTCAACTATCGCCTTGTGTTTTTTTTTTTTTGTAATTGTTACGTAAAATACAATTACAATAATTCATAGAAGTCATATATTATTATTAACGAGATATGAAAATTTATGTTACGAACTAAATGTTTCTTTTTTTATTTTTATATTTTCCTTAAGTATCACCTGAAGTCTCTCTTTGGCGAGTCGAAAGTGAGAGAAGAGTAAAACGAAGAGCCGGGCCCAGGCTCGCTCCCAGTGCAGCGGTCCAAATGAATTTTGCGCTTTACAAAAAATCGCTTATGTATGCAATAACAATCGCGTGGTGTACGTAGAAAAAATATTTATCATTTATCTGCCTAAATGCACGGATTACATTATGCGGATACTTGCGTAATGCATTATTATATTGCGTATATCAATTCATTGATACGACAAGGTGTGCCTTTGCATATCAATATGTCACAATTTTTATATGTAACATTGTAACACTTTCCGTACACGCAACGATGATACGCGGATACGTGACAAAGTCTCGTATTTGTCTTAACAATTATAGCAGGTGTATTATTATCGCGTCAAGATTCAATTAAATTCCTCTTTATTACTTATACGTAATCCTTAACTTAATTAAAAACTTGAGAATTATGTATAAGTAATGAAATCTTTATCTGCAAGATACCATACATATGAATATTCAATTTGATTAGGTTAATGCAAGAGTATTATATTATTATACTTACAATCAGGCGTGTTACACTTTTAAAAGAGCAATATATGTATGAACACGCATTTTGGAAATGTATGCAAATATTGCGCCACAAAAATACATCGAACTGTCTCAGTGTCGATAGAAAAAGGAAGAGTCAAAAGATAACGTCATTCCCCGCGACCTTGTGTTTATCAAAAATAAATATAAACATTAAAAGCGATGCTTTATATCGGTTTGCTAAAATATAGGTACTCAATGTTTTTGTTGCTATAGGAATATTTCTCTTTTGCGCACAGTTTGTTAGAAAATCGTGAGTATATCATTAAAAGTAATGCATATACATACATGTATTATCTTTATTTGTTAGAAATGTATATACATACATGTTATTTTAATTGTTACAAATGTTTAAGATTTTGTATGTTTTTATTTGCGTATTTTAAGAGAGAAAAATATGATTTTTATCAAACTAATTATTTTAGCGTGACGATTATTAATTAGTAGAACAAGAATATACAATATTTTACTTTATTTTGAAATCTAAAACATTTCTGACTCGTTTCGTATTATTATTATATATTATTTTTTTCTATGAATTACGTTTTCATTGTGCCATCTTATAAACACAAAGTTAAAATGTATCTTTTCTTATCTCTTGAATATTAATATATCTAATCTTTAGTAGAAGTATATCAATTCTTAGCTCGTAAATATTAATGTATCTAATTGGTCACAATAAAAAAATTTCTAAGATGAATAAAACGTATTCGAATAATTAAATGAATTATATAACTAATATATAATATCACGAATCTAACTAGTTCAACGATCACGATTATTGACTCAAGAGGAAAAATTGAATTAAATTAAATTTATGATAACATCAAATTATTTGCTGATTTTTATACAGGAGGATAATCTTTAATGTTGTAATTTTTATAATTATCACTAAACAAAATAGAATTTTTATATGTTTTATATGTTTCTACGTGCGTGTTACATGTTCTTATATATTAATTAATATGTTTATAAAAATATTATACATACATAAGTATATATGTATAATATTGCATGCTTGATAAATTTTCATCTTTTTTTAATTCGTTAATTCCTTTGACAATGTCCCTTTCGGCGGTAATTCTCTTTGGAGAGAAATAAGGGAAAAATTAAATAAAAAACATTGCACGGTTTATAGTGCAAATATTATATATGATACTTGAGGAAGATCGGTTCCGGAAGATCAGCGGGCCGCGCAGGAGGGGAGGAGGGTTGAAATATATGTATACGTAGTGCGCCGAATGGCGGGGTGGGGGCTCGGGTGAGATAGAGAGAGGAAGAAAAGCGGTAATGTCTTGAACCTTTGAGTTAGTTGGAGTTGAGTTAGTGCTCTATCCTCGGCCGCGAACCGTTCACGTTCTGCACGTCCCGTCAGTCTTCGAGGAGGCGTTCGAGCGTTGGCCGGTCCCGTAAGTACAGCCGCGACTTAATAAGCCCATATTTCGCAACTTGGTTCCGCAACCGCGCGACTATAGGCCGCGTAGAGTTAAAAAAAAAAGCGAAAGAAATAGAGGAGGAAGAAAGGAAAAAAGAAGGAGGAGAGAAAGAGAGAGAGAGAGAGAGAGAGAGAGAAACGTATTACCGGGAAATGCGGAAATTTCATACTTTCACATTCCGCGTACTCGCTCGACACGATCCGCATCGTCCGTTTCTGCGTACGTCAAACGTCCGCAGTGCTGCTTTCTCAGCAGTGCATTTATCTCTGGTGCATTGACAGTTAGAGAAACGGCGATCGCTAGAAATGTCAAAAGTTACAAGTCAAGCCGACTTATCAAAGACGCTTCCGAACACGTGTAATTGACTCGCCTCTGGGGAGAGGTGGGAGGTTCAATATCAGCATAGAACGCGCATTCATTCAGCGCGCTGAGGAAAAAAAAGGGATGGCATGCAGCGCGTGCATCTGACAGCTGGATTTTTAAATTCGTCCGAACGTTTCGAAGAGGCGAGATTGCCTTTTTTCTCGATCTCCATCTGTTGATCTAAAGCAAAAAGAATTCTTGCGAGATCGCGAAGAGCGCGAAAAATTTCACGCATTGATTATAAGTAATTAATGAATAAATTAACTAATGCTCTTTTCAAAAATTTCATAATTTCATAATTAACGCTGCACGCGCTCGAAATGTCGCGCGATGACGCAAAGTCGTGACAAACTTGGAGGATAAAGATAAACAAGCAAAGAAGACGCGCAAATTAATTAGCTGTCTCGGGGCAATTGTTATTAAAAGACTTAGCCTATTCTTCTTGCTGTCAAGTCCGTCAAACCATGTATTATTGATCAATTTGCAATACATCGAATCGCGGTACATTGTAAGTTAGTCAACAACGTTTTCAGTGCTCATTCGACTCGCTGTCACCGAGACTGCAACCGTTGATGTGATAAATTGACCGTTGCTTCGAGAATTAATACCAGAGAGTTTCTTCCTTGCGCATAGTTTCCGCAGATTTCTATTCGACTCATTGCTAAACCACATAGATAATTTTCACGCTCATTCAGCCAGGCGTTACTTCTCGCGGCGCGGTTAAAGCGAGAGAGATTTATACCTCGCGCGCGTCGAGAAATACGAAACGCTCTTAATTCCTTGCTATCTTCCGTGAGAAAATACAGTTCTTTCTCGTCTCGATACCCTATACTGGATTGTCGACAATGCGCGAGTTGGTCAACGTCGGATGCATATACCGTCGGCGAGCTTCTTTCCTTTTCTCTCTTGCGCCTCGAAGCTTGCAGCTCTTTGACCGCGAGTGAGTTTTTTCAGATAACTCCTCGACGAAGCTCGACGGGAATCTACTGCGATCGTGGGGCGTAAGGTCGTTGTCCCGCTTCGGCGATGGTGTTTCCGAACGAGGGGAATTAAATCGGGCTCTAAATCGTTTGATCGGGACTTTTGTGAGGCGTGCGACAAACCCCGCGCTAAAAATACACCTAAGAACGAAGCGTGAAGTTGGGAATGTTTTCCTGTGCGCGTTTATACAGTCAAGTATAATATTGTTTTGAACGTTCTCGTATTTCTGGTACTCGTCACTCTTCGCGAACGCGTCGACGGGTGATTATTTAAATCGTCGTTGAATATATATTTCGCTGATAGGGGCACCTTCTCTCATTCTCTTTTTCTCTTTGTCTTAGTTACAGTTTAATCATTTTGTCCAATTTAGAGCGAAGTCAAAATTTCGACTGAAAGCACATGACTGCTGCTCTTCTGTGGTTTGATTTATCCACGATAATCATAGATTTTTAATGACATAATTAAGTCGATTTGTTCCTTCCTCATGTTTGATGTTCCTTGTATTCTTTATCGGCAATTATGAATGTGTGAACTACACGCGTAAATCACGTGATCATTTTATATCGTTTTATAATCGCGGTCGTATCATCGCGCACGTGAACGCTATACGAGAAACTGGTGTCCGCCAATCTAAAATTAAATATAAATCATCTTCATGCGTTTCCGGTTCTTGATCTTTTAACCCGCGGCTGTTATTTCTACTTGATATTAAATTTACATAAAATCACACGCATTAGGTGCGAGATAGCGATAGGGCATGCGGAGATTCACTTGACAGAACTTTGATTATATTAGTTTTCTTTTAACTGGCTGCATGATAAAAATAATATCCGTCAATGACTCTGAATTTTCAAGTAGGCAATTGAACATCAATGTGAATCGAGTATTCTTGTCCGAAGGCGTGCGTCCTTTTCCTGATTTTATACTCTTTAAGATACATTTTCTCTCGCGTGCATATTTTTTTTGCGGTCTAACAGTGTTGTTGAAAATAACCTAATGACGGTAATTTCTTCTTGGAAACACAAAATCGCCTTTGCCGAAGGTAAATTATTCTACGGTGAAACTGAAATTATTTGGGCCATACAGTGCTCGATGAAATGCTATAATTAAATTAGATTACTATAATTAGATAGTCAGTATTTTTAAAATCATTTTTTCTTGCAGAAATGAAATAAACACAGTTATTGCAATCTATCTCTCATATTGCAATATATGTTACATTGATAACACTAGATTGATTATACTATCAATAACGTCACACTTAACGATATTAACAAATTTTGCATAAGAAATATGTTTTTCGTATGGCTGTGAAAAATTAACTGTACTTACGCGAGCGATAACAAAAACGTTCATCGAGATTTTTTGCTTTTATTTAAACTCGAAAAATTGGAAATAAAATGCTTAAAGCGTCATAGTTTAATTACATATAATTGCTTGTTTGCACATAATTATATTATTTAAAAATAATGTATGACTGCGTCTCTAGTAAGAGATAATAAAGTCCACACGTGTCATATTTGATGAACGTAACTTACAAGCATCGCGGTCAAAGTCCATATACTTCTTTATACCGCGTCTTCGGAAACTTTATCATCTTCTTCGATCGGTTCACGGATGAGCTAGCAGGTATATTAATATCCATAAACTATTTCAACATTAAAGCAACAGTGTTTGTTCTCAATATGAAAATATTTCTACGCGTTATTCAGTATATATTCTATCGACTCAAGAACTTTCTCACTCGGTCGGTCTTTTTTTTATATTAGTACGACAAATATATACATATTAACATCCATAAATCATTTTAACCTTGAAACAAACATTGTCCAAATTCCATTATTGAAATTACCTTGTTCTCAATATGAAGATATTCTACGTATTATTAATTTATTTATTCATATATTGTGCTAGCACGTATGGATATTGGTACAAAAACGAAAGAGAAATATCAAGGATGACAATGATGATGTTATCATCGGGAAGCCAAGCCGCCGAATTCAAGCAACGAGCGGATCACGTGGAACGGAAAGAAAACGTGACACAATTCTCCTCAGTACGAAAGTCCAGCTCAGAACGTTCGCTCGTGCCGTCCGGATCTCTCTTGAACTTTGCGCGCACCATGCGCTCTGTGTATACAATTCATCATTCGCTTATCTGTCAATGCAGCGCATTTAAAGAGGACACAGTCTAAATGCCTTCCCTCCCCGGGGGAGATTTTGATACGCGAGTGTCATCAATTATAACGAAGGCATATCGTAGAGGCGGTCTCTGCCTTCCTCCTCCCCCCCCCCCTCTTCCTAAGCGATCCTTTATCGAGGACGCAATGATAACGTGCAATGTTTTCTACGATTGGTTTGATTTGTGACCGGCCACCGACCATTGTCTCGTAATCGCTGACGAGTGTGTTTAAGTACGCGCATGTCGTAACGTCATTATTCGAACGGTTTCCGTCGTTCTGCACTACGTGCGAATTGTTCCGTCGTCGATCATTTCGAAATTCGCACACGCGTGAAAGGTGACAAAAATCAATAGGCTGCAAAAGTATTACAAAGTGATCGACATTTTTCGTGTCATCAACCAACCGGCGATCACAATCGTAAGTCTGATTTATCGATATCTCTTTTTTTTTTAAATTCCACAAAACTACATCTCTTTAATGTAATTAATATAATTAATATATGTATATTGGGATGTATAAATGCGGTAAAATACTGCGGTGAATACTGAATTAAAAATTCCTATTGTAAATCAAGAGATGAAATTTTTGAGTTATAAAATTTTCTGAAATAATTGTTGCAATTTGGGGCGTTTTTTGAAACTATACTCACCGGCAAAAAAACCGAGCACCTAAATTTTAATAGGCCCGATTTTTTTGCCGGTGATTATATAATCGCGTTATAACAGATTTGTTGTCAAGTTATGACATTCTTCTGAAAAAAAAGAAAATGACGACGTATCAATAATTCTTGTGTTTTTATCGCTTAAAAGAAGGAATTTTATTAAGAACAAAAACCGGATTTGTTTTTGTATGTTATTATCTTTTGATTTATAACTCAATTACCATTAAAATAGTTAATGGAATCAATAAAATTTCAAGAAATGATTACGTCTCTCGATACTTGCAGCTGCAAGTACTGTTGCTCACGTGCTTGGATATAACATTGTATTTGCATCGCGTACGCGACACGATGTGATCGATGCCCACATTTGAAATAAATCGTGAGTAATAATTACACAATGAACGCAACGTGTCATTTTCGTACTGACTGAAGTAATATAATTTTTTTATTGCCAAAGTGAAGAATGTGTCCTTGCCATCATGTTGACACACTTTTACAAGTGTATCACCACTTATTCTACTTTGTGTTATACAATTAATATATTAAAAAGTCTGTATTAAAGTATTAGTCAGTATTAATAAAAATAATTCGAATAAGTAATCTAATCTTCCGTATTTCAAACGCGATGGGAATTGTTTCACTTAAGAGACAAATCTACAATGCTTTCTCTTTTATATTTTATAGTTTATACTGATAATTTACTTTTTTCTTTCGAATAAGTAATCTAATCTTCCGTATTTCAAACGCGATGGGAATTGTCTCACTTAAGAGACAAATCTACAATGTTTTCTCTTTTATATTTTATACTGATAATTTACTTTTTTCTTTCGATGTATCGGTAATATACATAAACTTTTTCAATTGTAAAAGTTGAATGGATAGATACACCTCAAAATACGTTCACTGCATATTTCGTAACGCGCTTGATACCTTCTATGAAGTTATCTTGCTACTTTCACCTTGCTTGCAACATCATCATCTACGTACAGTGTGTATTGTTGCGAAAGAAGAACGTTCTGCGACTGATGTGTAATAATATATTGCACATCAGCTTCCCCAATTTATTGTTGGCAAATTTTAATTCTCTCACAGTTTTTCTTATAAAATGAAGAAAACTATTTTTTTTTGCGATGTATTTGACGAGGAGCATGAAGTAATATTTTATCAATATATTAATATATTTCCAATTTATTGCGGGCAAATCTTATTTCTCTTGGTTTCCTGTTAGAATAAAAGATTTTTGCGATATATTCGAGGAATACGATAATTGTTTGTTGAGATATTTGATTTGATATATAATTTCCGATTAATCTATTCGATTAATCTATCTTACTTTTTTATCAATTTCTTATTACATAAAAAAACTGTTGATCGCGTAATATATTCGTAGAAGAGTATAAATTCTTCATTTAATTGGAATTCTTATTAATATTGATAAAAGGAATTCTTTCGCGAATTTCGCACAATTTATATATTTAATTTCCTTACGGAGCACTATTTCCAGCGACGTTTATCTCGCAAAACGCTTGGAAAAGTTAAGTACACTCGGGATGGCTGTAAATATGATGAATGGAAATGCGGATGATTGAAAACATGTTTTCAAATGTTTGATAAAGACAATAACAAGCGCGGCGTAAAAAGTACACGATCGTTAAGCGTCCCAATTGGAATTGCGAACGCTAAGAACGATTTATGAACTCTCATCGAGAGCGGCGATTACAATTCAAACAAAAACTTCGTTATATTCACATTTTTCGCGCGAATGACGTCAATTAAGCCTACCAAACTCGCGTGTGTAAAATATGTTAAATATTTTGCTCCGTATTTAGCGCTTATCGCTAGTTTATAGTTTATAGCAGCGTAGGAGAATCATATCTCGCATTGCGTAAGGCGAGCATCAATTATTTTCCGTTGGTGACAGTTTCTTTTTCTTTCTTTCGATCGGCTTGTGTGTATAGTATACACGTTACGAAGTTCATGATAACATCTTTGACGTATTAACTACCTATCTCCCTCTCTTTTTTTCTTCTTATAAGCTGCGAAACTGTTCTCGCTGAATTGATAGTCAGCTGCCGTTCGTTAACTTATTTCAAAAACAGCGCACTAACTGTCCGCTGCGTGACGCGGCCGAGTTGAAAAATTCAACAAGATTAACTCCTCGGTATGGAATATTCATTTACGATTAGATAAGATTAACGATTCCGCTGTCAATGAAATCATCTTAGGTTACTGGACTTGGTACTCTCGCAGTGTCACCAAGATGATATGATCTTGTTGTTGACATATACACCCGGTTGCAGTCAAGGATGCTTGTGTTGCGCATGTATTATCCGGGAAATTCCCTACAAGGTTCCATTTGTTTTCTCGGAATATTGCGTTAATCCTTTAGTCATTCTCTTAATTACCTATTCTAGTTACGTATTTATTCTCATTTCTTATTGATCAGCTGAATCGCGATGCTCACGCGTACCAGGAAATGGGCGAAAATGGGGGAAATCTTATTTATCTAATTTATTTTCGATCCATTTTATGTAAATATCGGATACGTCAAGAGTGTAATTGATATGATAAAATTGTTATCAACCTTATATGTACAAAGATAAATACGCCTTAGTCGTTTCTTATGTAAATGACAAGGCTGAGAACGGGCCTATGGTACGGGCGGCACGGCGGAGTTTAATAAAAATAATAAATGAGGGTAAAGAGATGTTTTCGAATGTTCAAATTATGTAAATAGGTAGGTGGATTTCGTTATGATTTTAAATTTGTGATTATTACGAAATGAGTTTTATGTCACGGACGACCGGTAAGTTGTGCGTATATCTGTATGCATATATCGTCAAAACTCTCTCGGTCTCTCGGTGAATCATCGCGCGTCGAGCATTATCTCGTAAATCCGAAGCTACCTTTGTCCCCTGGTCACAAAATGACGCACGCCTGTATGCACATTAACCACATTATAGCGACTAAATGTACGAACTCCTCTCGGAATTGATTTGCGTGTTATTTAGTTCTTTTAATTTATTACCTGCGAATTACAGAGACCTCGGCTCTACGTAAGAAACTGTCAGTGTAGTTAGATACGTAGAATGGAGGAAAGTAGAATGGAAAAAAGTTTCTTACAGTCCCATCTCGCGCGCGTTGTAATAAACTAAAGAGAGACTTTAGATTATAGACAATAGCTTATTAAGAAAACGTATTGACACTCTATGCTAATTTTATCGGTAAATGGTTGTTGTAGATTTGAATTTTACAATAATAGCGTTACCGCATTAGTATAATTGTATGTGCAAAGAGTAATTACTCGAGGAAAAGAATTTATAGTGCCAATAAAATCCCCTTTGATTGCAGTCAGCGACACGTGTTTTGTAGTCTTACGAAATGAAATAGTCGGGCCTCGTTTTATGAGGAAATTATAAATTCCCGATATATCCTTCGCGCATCTTAAAATCGCCAATTAGCAATTTCAAACCGAGTCAACGTGTCGCATGTCAATCATTTATGATTCCGAAAGGAAATCGTGATTGTGCGAGATTACGTCGAATCCCGGAAATAAATTCCGCAAAAGACAGACTAGTCAGTGACTTTATCTTGAAATTGTACAACGTCACGATTACGTTCACGTCAGGTTTAATTAGCCGCGCGGCTTACCTTCTTAAAAAAAAAAAAAGCAAACAGCGCAGTCGAAAATACGCTAGAAATAATATTTCTCTTTTTACGATCTTTACCAATCATCTAACATTAGTGATATTTTCTTTATTTCTTTATTCCACGTCTGCGGCTGCGATCATCCGTTATTGTGGATCTCCATGGGTTCCATCGCATCCCGGCGACTCTTTATTTCAGGTTGCCCGAGTTGGAGCGACAGATGAGCGTTCGAGCATAATCGGCTCCTACCACTCGATCGGTTATAGGACAAAGCGCGTTTAACGATGGAAGTATTGATGCACGAGGCGAGCAACCGGCAGGAAAGTAGCGCGGATGCGCCGATCTGTATGGTCGACTTCAAATCTACGTCCACCGAGAGGCAGGAGGACGGCACCACGCCGACTCACGCCGTGCGAAATGATAGCAAGGAATCGGTCGACATCATCTTCGAGAACATCACTTACACCGTCAGCCTTGGCTTCAGAAAGGGTGAGCTACAACCTCAAACTCTTTTATTACAAGTTTGATTAAAAAATTACTTTTAGAAATGTAAATTAGTTCAGGAGATTTCGTTACTTCTCTTAAATCGCGTATCAGTAGTTCAATGTAATGTATATTCATTATTCATATAATGTACGTAACAAATAAATAATATTTTTGAACTTTTGTGGTCTCAATTAGATTTTATCTTAAATAATATTTATATTTTTCTATTGTTTCTCGCAAGACGACGATTTGTATTTTTCCACTAAATTTTGATACATGCACATCCCGCAAAAAATTATTTCTCACGTAAAAAAATCTTATAGTTGACAATTAGTCGGTTGTAATCATCCATGATAATTGTAGCAATGAAAGAAAATTTCTTCGGAACGAAGAATGGAATTGTTACTAACAATTTCTCTTCAAAGCTCTTCAAAACCCAAAGTAATCTCTCATCGCGTTGAAAACGTTTCAGGGGAGAAAGAGATCTTGCATGGGATTAACGGAAGGCTCCCTAGCACACAGTTAATCGCTCTGATGGGACCATCCGGCGCGGGGAAGTCCACGTTACTCGACATTCTGTCCGGTTTCCGCACAACCGGGGTGGATGGTGTCATATATGTCAACGGTCGCGTTCGGCATCTCAATACCTTCCGGAAGTAAGCACAGCCTTCGATACTTCTTATTACCATCAAACTTTTTAGATTTTTTGTGAAACTTTTGAGATTTTTTTAATTAGTAATTTTTATAAATAATTAAATAAGCCAGGAAATTAGCATTTAACATAGTTGCAGGTCGTATACTTCATATACTTTGGTCGCTCTCCTCTCGATTCGACACAACGTGCGTTTACGTTATTGACAATTTCTTTAGAAATGAATACTGATTGTTTTGGACAGGGATATCGATCGCATCAATGTGGTGTCGTTTTAACGCTTCATTAATTCTCTCCCCCAGATGCAGCGCGTACATCACGCAGGACGATCGATTGGAACCCCTGCTCACCGTGATCGAGAACATGAGGGTCGCCGCGGATTTAAAACTGCCGTCAAGCACGCCGCAACACAAGAAGGAGATGATCGTACGTTAAAATTTATTAAAAACTATTCCAATAATTGATTAAGAAGAATATCAGAAATTTATTTAAAAAAAAATATGCAAAGAAAATTATTACAATGCTTTGGCAGATTTAATTAATTTTATAATTATTCAATTATTCTTTGAAAATATAAAAATGTTAAACTTAACTGCTGATTTCTCTGAATCAATGTTAAATGATTTGTATGTTAATTGTGTCATGCAAATAAGATCTACCGTTTAATCGCTTTAATGGATTGTAGTATCTAAAATAGATTAATTGTATGTAATGTTTTACAATTAGATCGAAGATATTCTCACGACACTTGGCCTATACGAACACATGTACACGAGATCTGGTCGATTAAGCGGCGGTCAAAAGAAACGGCTCTCCATCGCACTGGAATTGGTTAATAATCCGACGGTGATGTTTCTCGACGAACCTACTACGTAAGTGCAATGACCTTGATTCGATGCTGTCTCACTTTTTTATCCGTTTCATATGTATTATACGATATATTCGGCTTAAAAAAATTAATGGCTGTTTTTTTAAAATGTTGCGTCAATTTAACATCTCAATACATTTTGCATCTTAGCACATCCATTTTTTATTTCTAGTAAACACATTTACAATACATATAACACATATTCTTGATAAACACATTTGCATAGACGTATTTATAAGTTCAATCTCTTTTTATTGCTAGTTTTTTTATCTTTCAAAAAGTATGATTCCGCTTTGAATAATGGAAAAAAAATTTATTTACTAATGCATTTTTTAAATGTTTAATATTGTTGTTTTAATTAAAATTGATAATCTCTATGTAGCAAACATAAACAGAGTCTTTAATTATTTCTTATTTTGCCTTACTGTTTTATTGCTTTACATTTTGTCGGCATTATTATATCATAAAATTTCTTTAACGTCGCGACAAGAATTCGTAATAATTTTACACATTTTATTAACTATTCATGAGTAATTATCATAGTATTAGTTTCCGGAGTACAATATATATCTAGTATTTCCAATTTTTTCACAAAATTGTTAATACTTATTGACTGATGGCTGATATTGATAATTTAAAGGTTCGTTCATTAATACACTTGTTATTATATTTGTCATTATATTTTTATACTTGTCGTATTTGCTACAGAGGTCTGGATAGTTCATCTTGCATGCAAGTCGTAAACTTGCTAAAAATATTAGCGCGACAAGGGAGGACAATCGTTTGCACTATCCATCAGCCCAGCGCGTCCTTGTTTCAATTGTTTGATCAGGTAAGTAAATACGTCATAAAAATTGTAAAAGTTACCTCTTAAAAACATGTAAGATAATTGGTAATATGATGCTATCACATACATCGCGCGATATTGATCTACTTTTGAGTCTTATATTTATTATTTACAATTGCGTTTACGATATTAGAATGATAAGAAAATCAAAATTCTCGCAGGTATATGTGTTATCGAACGGGGACTGCTTGTATCAAGGGGCAACGGGTAAGCTCGTACCTTACCTGGAAAATATAAAACTGCCGTGTCCTATGTATCACAATCCGGCAGATTACAGTACGTATAATAATTCAATTCTTTAGCAAGTTACACGGGAAATTTCGTTCGCTGAGTCATTTAATACTGCTATGTGCAAATATTGCAGTAATCGAGCTTGCCTGTGGAGAGTACGGTGATGATAAAATCGATACGTTGATAATGGGATCGCAAAATGGACGAAATTTGCAGTGGTTCGATAATCCCGCAGCTCTGAGGGATGCGAAAAGCCTAAGAGGTACGGAGAAAGTTAATGAATATAAAAATCATCACATTTACTATAAAATCATAATTTTACTTTAAGATTTTAATTTTAAATCGTAATTTTACGCGATCAAACTTTATTAATCGGTAAAAAAATATTTTTCCTCGTATATGCATTGACAAATAGATTTTAATATATGTTTGTAAAGGTTGATTTTTATTTGTAACAAAATGTTTAGGTATTCAGTTTTATTTCACGCCTGTTCTAAATACCATGTTAATTAAAAACACAATATACTGTTATAAACTGTCGAGTTAGAAAGTTTAATGCAGTCACTCTAGATTAATTATACGACATATCGCATTTAACTTTCGATCTTTTCTTTCAGCGGCACACCCATTGAAAGTAATGGACAACAGCAGCTTACACGCCACAAATCTCGCTCACCAAATCAAGATCTTGCTAAGGAGAGGCTATATCATGTGTAAACGAGATACGGTAAGAATTGTTTGTTCCATCTATTACGTTTTAATACATATCAACGATGATTTTTAATCGATGATACGCGCATTCCTTGAAGGCGCCAAAAATTATTTGAGATCTTTTTTTAAGATTACGCGGAGAGATACTCGCGTGTATATTCCTGCAATTGTTTTGTTGATTAAATTAAGTAAAATGTGACGAGTAAAATCTTAAAAATATTAAGAACCATATAATATTTCGAGAATCTAGAGACTGTCAGTCGTTGAGAATGCCAAACGCCGTCGATTTTGGCGTAGAAGAAGCTTGCACTACTACAATTGCACGAATCCTGTTTAACAATGTATTTTACATATGTGTCGTAGACTTTGACGCATTTGCGCATCGGTGTTAACATACTCGTCGGTATAATGCTGGGCTCCGTTTTTCTGCGATCTGGCGCCGACGGTTCCCGCGTTTTGGACAATTACAATCTTCTCTTTTCAATTCTCATTCATCACATGATGACGACGATGATGCTCACGATAGTGACCTGTAAGTATCCACGATTTTTCCGTATGAGTGACTCTCTGTGACTTCACAATAACTATTATAAGTTTTTGTTTTTGCGGAAATTTTTACTGCAAACGCGAGTTTCCGTAACGGAAAATCTTTAATTCGCAGTCCCAATGCAGATGTCCATCCTTCTGAAGGAGCACTTCAATAGGTGGTACAGCCTCAAGGCGTTCTACACGGCGATAACGTTGATCGACGTGCCGATTTCGATAATTTGTTGCATCTTTTTCTCGATAATCGTCTACCTCATGTCGGCGCAACCGTTGGAGATTATTCGATTCGCTATGTTTGTGGCCATCAGTCTATTAATCATGTTCATAGGACAAGGTACCGGCCTTATGATAGGCGCTGTGTTTAACGTCGTGGTGAGTATAATCAACAATTAATTAGAAATTGATGCTGATGATACTGATAATACTGGTAATGATATACTGATTTGTTTGTAGGCCGCATTTAATGTTTGTTATTTAATTATTATGTATATGTCAGTATCGCTTATCAATGTCCACTCCTCTTATCGTATTTAAAGATATTAATTCTGCATATTATCAATTTCCTTTAACCTTGATTCTATCAAATGCGTCATTAATTAGCCAACTCCCATTATATGTTATTGATAGTTGCACAATTTTATTGCAAGTATTATCAATCCGATAAGACTGTACGATAAATTGCATTTTATCTTTATCGCAAAATGTTTCATAAAGATGTTTAATTTTAGGAATAAAACTTAATAAAAGAACATTCTAATTTGCAGAATGGCACATTTATGGGGCCAACGTTGGCAGTACCATTAATGATGTTCGCCGGATTCGGAGTATCATTACGCGATCTACCAAGCTATCTCAAGTGGGGCAGCTATCTCAGTTATTTGCGATATGGTCTAGAAGGGTAAGAATTACTTCACTCTTCATAAATTTTGCATTACCTAAGCAATATACATATATTACTTACCACGTGTATTTCCAATAGTAATTATTTATATTTACGACGAAACTTCATTTGCAATAATTTAATACGTATATAATCATAATTTAAAGGATTATATAAATTAGAATCATTTGATATTAAAAAATTAATCTAAAATTTAATAATACAAAGTTATATAATGAATGTAAAGTATTATTTTTGTGACGTTAGTTTAACGTGTTAAACGTGTTATTTACGTAAACGTTAGTTAAACGTGTGATTCTCGCAGATTCGTCGGAGCCATCTACGGGCTGAACAGACCCATTCTAGAGTGTAAAGAGAAGGGCGAGCTGTACTGTCACTATAAATACACTTCGAAATTTCTCTCAGACATCGCCATGAGGGAAGACCAATTCTGGAACGATATCATCGCCCTCACTACGATATTACTCATCACGCGATGCGGTGCATATTTGCTTTTACGATGGAAGCTTGTATCATACCGATAATACCATTGCGGCTGAGTCTTTGGAATGGATTTCTTTTTGTACTCCGGCTTACATTTAAGTGATTAAGAGACTACTTAAGTGTGTACTGTCGAGCTTTCAATTTGTAGTATTTAAGTTTTGTCCGCGATTGAGATCACATTTGCCGAACGTATCGCTTCCGAAATATTAAAATAGCTCCGAAATATCGGAGTAATTATCGGCAAAAACATTGAAAACGACGATGAATGCTTACTTTCTTAGTATACGATTTGCTCACTTGAGTATGATATTTTTGTTATCTGAAATTTATCTGAACTGATATCTACGCACAGCAAAAAAAGAGAGCGAACACAGGAATGTTAAGCGCTCGATATATATATATATATATATATATATATATATATGTATATATACATTCTTTTCGTATATGATTTTGATAAATTGTCCGAGCATAATCTCATTGATAGTCGTACGAACGAATAAGACTGTGCGTTTGCTTACGTGACGAACGCATGTGTGTACGTACCTCCGAGTTCATATATTGATGAGCATCGAGGTTATAGACGGCAAAATACGTAACACTAACAATATCGGTTAGTGATTAATGCGATAATCGTATTTAATTTTTTTACTTAAATGTGATACGTGCGAGATGATATGTAAGGAATCCGATTTGTGATACTGGGTGATAATAATGTACACGTTGCGCGTCAACGCAGTGAATTAGTAAGACACTTTCGTGTAAAGATACACTACTTGAACTTATATATCAGGTCGTGTGCCAACGTAATTGCGTATGTCACAGTCCTGACAGCTGACGATTTTAATTCACCCGAGGTTTTGATAAGCAAATATGTCGAGGATAAAAAGTGTGGATTACGTTAGTATACATCGATAAGAGGACGGTGCAAAGGTAAGTTGAATCAAAACGCTGATTTTAAGATGGAAAAGCATTATCCGCTAAGAGATAATCATTTTACTGTGATAGTTTCTAAAAATTGTCAGAAAAATATCAAATTGTTGATTGTTGCAATAGTGAATATATTGAAAAACAATTACATCTTTAACTTCAATTCTTCGGATATTAATCAATTAGCAGAAAAAGTCTTCCAAATTTATTTCATGTTCCTTATAGATCATCATTATTAATATTGTTGTTATTGCAATAGCTTATCTTTTTTTATCATACTGTTATTATAACGACATTTATTATTTTGTTGCGTCATTTATATAAGTTAAATTGAAATTCTGGGCTCCCGATTTGACATTTTTGTTGACTTTGCCAAGTCATCAACGCATTGATTATTCATTTCTACTATCCTATAAGATACTTAAATTTATTATATACTGTCATACTTAATTTATTGTATTATATACACCAATCCTTACGCTATCGTCATAATCAGATAAGAAAATAAATCTTATTATATTGTTATTACTGAGCCTGTTAGATATGTAATTATAAAAAATTTGTATAATCTTTTATACTTCTAATCCCGTTATTTTTCTTAACATTCTACCCACTGTTACAAAGAGAATTTGCACAATGGATAATTCTTTGTTTAAAATACTGTAAAAACATACTCGTTTGAGATGAATATTAACTAAATATATCATTTTTCTGCACGATAAATTTTCCAACGAAATAATGCATAAGTGATCGCATGTACAGACAGTAACCAAGAGCCAATTATTATTAGAGTTACGTAAAATGGCACTGTTGGCATGCTCATCATTGAGAGAATCTTTTTTGGCGAACGCCAGTGACAATAGATTTCCAAGCATGACAGATTTGGTCGATCAAGGTAGACCGCCTGCATTACTCCTTCAAATGCGTATCTGTAATAAAATTTTACATTAATAAAAAAATGCAATATATATAAAATATAATAAAAACATGTTACTCCACAAGAGTATTGTAGAAACAATAATTCTTGACAAATAGCTGTTATAAAATAAAAAATCATTTATATGGAAATTTATGTACAAATATTAACAAATTTAAATATTAAAGTTTTCAATTAATAATTGTTATGGTATAAAATTGCACCTGAAAAAGTTTATAGTGTTTATAGGCTGCATGTATGTTGGTATTTCGTCTATTTTCAAGAAAAATCCAGCAAATAAAAATAATAGTATAGTGGTTGCCGGAATTAAAAATACACCCATCTGAAATGAATTATATTTAATCATTATTTTCTCATATAAATAACAATCAAATTAAAAAATTTGTGTGATACAATCAATTATTTCATTAATCAATTGGAAAACTTATTATTATAAGAAAATTAACGATTTAATAATTCATTCTTATTACAAATAATTAAAGCCGCAACATTTTTTTATATGATATTGTAATAAATTGTATTAAATTGTTGTAGTTTTTTTTGTAACTTTTTAATAATGTACATAAATATTATTTAAATTAATAAAAGATACGTTGGTAAAGTACGTACCTCAGTGCCAAAAGCTGTGCCTAAAAATATCCCGAGCGTTTGTCCAAAAATCGTAATTAATAGGCAAATGCCCCATACCCCTAATATTCTATCATATTCCATTGGTTGTCCTGTCATATAATAAGTTATAAACACAAAAGATGAGGTGCAAAGTATCTAGAAATTAAACAAAAATTTTTATTAATTTAAAAAGCAATTCAAAAGACAACTAATTGAATTACAATCTAATATATAGCCAGAACTTTATTCTGAAAGAAATAATTAGTAGCAAAGTTATGATGCTAAATTATGTCATACTTGCATCGGAATATCTGTTAATACTTTTACGCTGTAATAGGATCTCAAAGAATACCAATCATTTAAATGTTCCTGTAGGAATACTGCCGCTTCCGTGGGAACTGCAGTCAGATATGACAATTAGATGCAATTAACATAATACAATTATTTATAAAATTCATGAAATGCATTTATCATAATTTAGAATAGTAAGGTTGAAAAGCTTATTTCTTTCTCTCTCTCTCTCTCTCTCTCTCTCTCAAAAAAAAATTTGATCAGTTTTTTAGAAAAAAAAATTATACAATTTAGTTATTTGTTAAAAACATAATATAAATTATACATAAAGTTTATACTTAAAAAATAACTTTTTTTCACTTACTTGTTAGTACTGTCAGTGTGCAGTTTAAGAAATATAAAGCCATTAGAATGATAAATAAGCAAGAGATGTTGCTTGTTACCCTTTCTGCTTTGTCGCCGAAATTATAAAAAAGTAACCCGAATACCAGCCCGACTACGATGTGCGTCGCAAATCTTAGTTTTGTCAATGTCTAAAAAATCAATCTAAAAGTAGCATTTTGATTTTTGAAACAAATAGTTCGAATATTCCTTTCAAAAGTCTTCACTCACATTATCTCGCTTGATGCAGATTAGAGCTCGTAAAAATAAAACCTTTTGTTGTTCCCATGTCGATTTTTTTTGTATTATATTATTTATAGATGTAGCTCTATTGTCTGTCTCATATTTTTGTGTGAAATCAGTCGATGAATCCAATTCTATAAAAAATCATTTAATTACTAAAAATTATTAAAAATAATTGAAAAATTTGTTTCTCATATTTTATGAGTTATCAGGCTTTATATTTTTTTGCTTTTTAAATACGAGTAACATTAATTTTATATTATATGCAAGACATTCAACCTTGATATCCTATATTTCTGAGAATCTAAATTTTTGTTCTGTAGAAAAAGCAATAGGTTTTTGATACATAAAATATTAACGCTTTCAATAATCACTAAGCAAGATAAAAGATTACGTATAAATTAGTATACTAATTATAGTATACGAATCTTACTAAAGTAATTATTAATAAATTGTTAATAATTTATTATTGATTAATAAAATTAACCAAAATAAGAATAAAATGTTAACATAATAAAAAGTAACATGTTTACCATTTTTATTATGTTCATTTAGTGATTTGAACTTTTCGTATTCATTACAACATATCTTGTACAGATTCTCCAAATCTCCATCTCTTTGTTCGGTTATTACCTCAAGCACTGCAATTAGAACAAAATCAATCAATTATCTTTTATTTTTATAATTATGTGATGTATTCGAAATATTTTCATATATTTTATTTTCTAAAGTATAAGATAAAAAAATCGATAACATATTAAATGTACTTATTATGATTTAAATGTAAATGCATAGATATTTTAGTAATGGATACTTTTTATGGTAAACATTTAATTAAATGTTATTTTATAACAAGAGTACACATTCCTCAAAGATTAAAGTTATTATTTAATAATAAAAAATATTATAATAAAAATATCAATATTTTTTATTTTAGGTATATATTAATGCTTAATAAAAAAATGAAAGAATAATCTCTTATTTTTCAAAATTAATTAAAAAATGTATCTTTTTAATAAGTTTTAGAAATGTACATTTCACAATATTAATTTAAAAAATCAGTTCTGACGTTAAAAGTATGTCTAAAAGTTATGCGTATAGTTGTATGTAAATGTTCTTTTTCTAATTCTTCTATCCTGTTCTAATTTTTATCAAGTCAAATCGGTAGAGTCAAACATTACCAAATTCAGCTATATTGTAGAAACTGGGACACGTGAACCCGGCAATGCTGTACGTGTTTAAGATCTCGCTCTTTGGACCGCAGTACATGCATCTGCCTCGATCGAGTACCATGATGTCATCGAAGAGCGAAATCATTTGACTACTGGGTTGATGTATCGCACAAACCACAGTGCAGTTTGTTTGCGCCATATTGTGCAGTAAGTTAACGAGCTATTCGATGTAAATTGTTTCAATAATATACATTTCAATAATATACGTTAAATTAAATTACTAAAATTATATTAAAAATTAATACTATTGCAAAATATGTCTTAACATTCCAGTACATTGTTATGATATTATTGGAGTGTTTTTTTACACTTATATAGAATTATTAGCGGAAAATAACAAAAGATAAATATAAATTTATGTCTTCTAATATCGAGTATCGAGTTTTTGTAAAGCGATCATTATAGATGTATAGCTATGTATATATCTATTAGTAATCTACGCTATACCTGATTAGAGGCCGCACTGTCGAGACCGCTTGTTGGTTCATCTAAGAAGAAAACAGATGGCTTGGCAATCATTTCCACGCCGATAGACAGTCTTCTCCGTTCGCCACCGCTTAATTTATTTACTAATGTATCCAAGCAATCTGACAAGCCGAGACTCTGCGCTATGTCGTTTATCTGACAAAAATATTTATTATATGATGAGTCAGTTTATGTAACTTTGCTCGACATATCACACACTAAGTATTAGTAGAGATAATAAAAAATATTTAATAATTATATATATAATATATTTATTTATAATTATTATACATATATATTAAATATTTTGAATGTACATAACATAATATATATTATTTATTTAATCAGTATGTATAATTGAATATATACATATACATACACTTATACATGAATACGTATATATATGAAATTTTCCCGAAATTCGCGAATCAAAATATCATGATAAGAAAGTCTTCGAAAAATTAAGTAAAAAAGTTATTTGTAAATTTTTATTTTAAGTAGTGGTTTTTGAGATATAAGAGTTTAAATTTAGCCAATTATAGATTACGGTTAAACGGAAACATATCCGTGAGCGCGTCGATAATGTTAGTTGTCGTGTACTTCACACGCGTACTAATCTATAATTGGCTAAATTTAAACTCTTATATCTTAAAATTAAATTACTGTTTAAAATAAAAATTTTCAAATAATTTTTTTACTTAATTTTTCGAAGACTTTCTTACAATGATATTTTGATTCGCGAATTTCGGGACACTCTGTGTGTACATATTTATTTATATATATATATATATATATATATTGCGCACTTGAAATGTTTTTCTCGTATTTGTATTTTACTTACAACTAAATAAATAGTTTCATTTTGATTAATGTTGAGTTTTAGCCGTGCCGCTATATAGAATGTTTCTCTCGTTGTGAGGAGCGGTAATAAATGGAATTGTTGCGGCACGTAGCACACCTGTTTGCGGAATGTTCCTGTATTCTGTTCAACACCGTTTACGCTAATGGTGCCCTTAACATCGATCGATCGTTTCCCCGATAAGATTTTCAGCAAAGTGGTCTTTCCCGCGCCAGAAGGACCAATTATTACTGTGACTTTCCCCGTTTCGAAGTGCCCCGTTACATTACGTAGGACCGTTTTCTCAGTCCCTGCAATAAACGTTCTTCTTGAACTTTGGATAGATGTAATATATTCATCGCATTTATACGCATTAAGATCTATATTTAAATACAGATTTGTCTAAAAAAGGCGAAGCGTTAATAATTATATATTTAACTTTGTAATTTACATTGATTTTACTATAAGTGTATATTTGCATGCAAAATGAATGAAGTTAAGTATAACTTAAATCCGAAAATAGAAAAGATATACATATTAATTAGGTACGCGTTTTTCAACAAAGATACAGTGTAACATATTGAATCACATTCTTGTTACCAGTGATAACACGGATGAAATAATTCCTGTGTTACAGTGTCCTTGCTGGAAATAAACGCACTAAAACTCCTACTGTTTAATCATCATTACTATCTCAGACTAAAACGTGACAAGCGAGAAAATAAAACAAAAAATATTTTATAAAATATATTGAAATGATATTCGTTAGAAAAGCCAATATCTCCGATAACCAAAGAAATTATTACTTTTTTTTTAAGAAAAAAATGTTATCAAAATTTTCAACGGTTAGCAGGAGATTTTTTTCGTACATCGGAGAATCGATGATTTGTTCAAAGTCGAAGTTTCCGTCCGAAAATCGGAGAGATGGCAACCGTGATTGTTATCTCTTGTTGAATATATACACTCTTTGTACGTAAAGTGAAACAGATTTAAAATTTGACAAAAGCAAAAAGAAAAGTTTTAGTGCAATCTAGCGCAACAATAAAATAACATATTAATGAATATCAAGAACTCAAAACACTCGTCACTTTCACAAATATATAGGACGACAAAATGAGCTTGCCTTTTCGATTGCGAACGGAGTAACAGAGATCGTTGAATTCGATGTACATTTGCGATTTTTTGGGTCCCAGCAATTTTTCCGATTCCTGCACATGGACCTTGCAGTCATCCTCTTCCATCCTCGTTACGTCATTATTATCCATTTCCAGTATTTCACTAAATACGTAAAATTAATCGTCTGCTGTCAATTGATTAACTGACAATGAAGATTCGGTGTTTATATCACAAGTACGAGATAATTACATACAGGATACATGATAATGTGCAATGATCGTCGAATACTACTATCCACTATATGCAACAAATGCTTTGAGTAACATTGTTAAGTGGACTGCGCCTTTTGTTAGTCATACATGGTTGATTATTAGCATTATACTTAAATTTTATATGTTGATTGATGTCGTACTACAGGTTATAAGCGTAAGAGGAAAGTCACTATTTAGCTTCACAGAATGAGCGAACCTTGATATGTTTGCGAATTGTATTGTCCAAGTTCTCAATTGCAACTGTCGATATTTGGTATTTACACTATTTGCTACTAATCGTAATCGTTAGATAACCAGTTTTTGCATCAGATCATAAAACTATGTTTAATGATTGCCTATTGAAACTGAATCTTTCAAGTAACATGCATTATGTTGCTTATATGCTTATTATTGTTGTGTCATTCTAATACGTCACACAAACACACACACACACACACATCACGCGCGCGCGCGCGTATACACATATATACATTTTTTAATATGTAAATGATTAATTTTTATATTGTATTGAATTTAATTAATAGTAATTTTTACATTAAACATTAGAAAACAAATATCTTAAGTAGCAAGGTGATGCCAAATAACATTTCAATAACGTTTTATTGATGTTAGAAACGTTGTTAAGGTTGCGTTCCAAAATTCACATATCAGCACTGAAAATCTATAGTTTACGTTACGCACTATAAATTTTCAGCACTGGCAGTGAATTTTGAAACACTGCCAAAGACGTCTGTTGACGTCAGTTTGCTACTTGGGATGTTTTTACAAAAATGATACACATCGAGATATAAGTATATGTTGCGTTTTTATATGTATTGTAATATACATATGTATATGTAGGTACATATATAAGTTATTGTAACAACGCGACATAAAACAACAATTAATTCAAAATGTGTTATTCTTGTTATTGTAAAAAAAATGATATTTGTTTCCTAATATATATTTAATATAAAACTATTTGCGACAAAACTGCAATTCTGTGCGCGACAAGTACGAGAGAGAGAGAGAGAGAGAGAGAGAGAGAGAGAGAGAGAGAGAGAGAGAGAGAGAGAGAGAGAGTGAAAAGGAGAGGGTCTTAGGGAAGATGGAGCTACAAGCAGGACCGGATTTAGGATGAAACGAGCGAGCTGTAAAATCGATAGATCTTTCTTTTCTCGTTGTGCGTTACGGTCGCAAAGAAAATATATTTTTGCACTCAAGACGTATATAAAATTATATTTCATATCGAGAAAACCATCTCGGAAAATTTTATTTTCAAAGCTGAGATCAGCGAGAAACATATACCTTATAGGTATATATGTGTTGTGACGCAAGATATTCTCTCTTTCTCTTTGTCTCTCGGTATCTCCGTTACGCGAGCATCCGTTTGCTCGTTTCACGACAAAGAACTTGTTATAACAACATTTTTAGAAAATTCTTCATTTTTTTATCAAGAAAATTGACTTATTATTTAGAATTTTAATACAACTACAGTAGAAGTAGTTAAGTATTAATCGAAACTACCTATAATGCAAGTTACATCGTTTACATTGCCAATGCACGCGCGCGCATGTGCATGCTTTTATCTTTTATCTGATTTTATCGTATTTTTTTATCATATTTTATCGCTGTCTATATGAAAGAGCGATTGCAGTAAGCCGACATTCGCTTATTTCTAATAAAAGACGCTCACGTTTTGATTGCCTTGAGGCTTTAGCATCCGCAAATCCGGCTCTGGCCAAGAGAGAGAGAGCTAGAGAAAGAGAAAGAGAATCAGAGAGAAAGAGAAAGAGAAAGAAAGAGAAAGAGAGAGAGAGAGAGACTAAGGGAGAAGGGGGGGGGGGGCATAGGAAAGAAAAGAGAAAACGAAAAAGCGGGTAAGAGAGGCGAGAGGAGGGAAGGAGTAAAAGAGAAAAGGGAGAAGTTGGGAGGAGTCATAGAGCGGTGAAGGAACGAAAGGGACTAAAGGGTGCGGGACAGGCGGGGAGAGAGAAGAAGAGAAACGGAGATGGTGAAGGGTGGGGAAGGAAGGGGAAAGGCAAAGTGGAGGCGCACGGCAAAAGAGAGAAATTGAAGCGAAGAGGGAGAAAGATGAAAAAAAAACAACG